GTGTGTGTGTGTGTGTGTGTGTGTGTGTGTGTGTGTGTGTGTGTGTGGGTTTACCAGCAAGTATGTCTGTGCACCACGTGTGTGCCTGGTGCTCTCGAAGGCCAAAAGGCATCAGACCCTCGGAAAGCAGTTGCAGAAGGTTGTAATATCTGTGCAGATATTCATATTCGGCAGAGAGACAAGAAAAGGGAGCAGGGCAGGGCACCAGCCAACCATGTGAACTATGCCCCGTGCGCCCTCCCTTCCAGAACCTGCAGTCCACTGTCTCCCTTCAGAACGCCCCACTGTCCTCTTTCAGACACCATGGTCTCAAACTGGATTCCCTGCTGATGGCCAACCGCTTGCCCACCCCATTCCGACCTCTTCACTCGGTCTCTTACACAACCAGAGGGTCTGGGGAGCTCCTGTTGTCCTCGGAGCATTTGCTTCAAGTACTCTCCATCACCAACCACGTTCCAGTACCACAGTGAGCAGGAAGCACGTGGCCACCCTTCGCCAGCCGCACAGTGGGACAGCTGAGGGGCAGCGGAGGTGCTTCGCTTGTGGAGGGTCTTGAGAGTTCCCAGCCTCACCCACTTCCAGCTGTCTCTCCTCCACCATCTCCTCCTCCACCACCACCCCACCTCCACACCACCACCAGCACCTGCTGCCTTGCCTTGCTTCTTGCTTGTGGTTGAGGATGCGACCTCTCAGCTCCCTGCTCCAGCTACCTGCTGCTGTACCTCACCTGCCTTCAGGGAATCACAAGCCCAGAGAAACTCTCTCTCATGAGTTGCTTCTGGCCGTGGTGCTGAATCCCAGCAACAGAGAGCCGACTGCTGCAGAAGCCGGCAGAGTGAGCAGAGGTTTGTGCTTTCTTTCCTCTGCGTCTTGGTCGTGCACGGAATCACGGAATCACGGGCTGAGATGGCGTCAGAAGCTAAGTGTTGAGATCTATGCAAGTTATAAGGTACTGAGCATGCCTGCAGGGACTTCGCCACCCACCCTGGCGTACATAATGTGTTTGCAGTCATATGTGGGACAGTTATATCCAGTTAGAGGTGGGATTGTGACCTGGTTCTTGCTTCACTTGGGAATTAAGCATGGCATAAGGAGACGTGATTGTGTGCCAGGTTCACAAGGGTTGGACTTGAGATGACTAACTTGGGTTGTGACTAAAACCCAACCTGCCTGACCCTCCGGTGAGGGTTTTTCTTGATCATATTATTTGAGATGGAAAGACCCACTCTAAATCTGGACCACACCTTCTGATGGTACCCCAGTAAAAAGACACAGAAGAAGAAAAATTTGCTTTTTGCCTGCTTGCTTTCACTCTTGTTGGCGAGCCCATCTACCCTATTGTTTTGACATTTCACCACCAATATTAGATCCCAACTTCTTTGGGATTCCAGTGTAGGCTGAGGACCAGAGGCTGTCCAGCAATTCTCCAATCCCTGGGTGCCAGAACAGTGCTGCTGAGACATCCAGCCTTGTGGACTGAACAAGTACCATAATGTCAGCTTCTCCAGCATGAGATAGCCATCACTGGACTACTGGAACCACATCCTGTAAACCTACCTACTGAAACCCTTTTACTAAACATATTCATTCTGTCAGTTTTGTTCCTCCAGAGAACCCACCAACTCCTCCCAGCAGAGCCCACATGCTGTCCTGGGCCTGTTCCTTCATCCAGGAGACTGTTGGTGAGGACGCTGGTGACTCTTGACCATGGACCTCCCTGTCCCTGTGACAATGAGGCCTCCAATACAGCCTGCCCTGGCCACGCCTGCAACAGGTGCAGAACAGGATGAAACAGGAGTCATCCAGGCTGGCAGCTGGCAGCTGGCTTCGGAGAGCTGGCACCACACACTCCCAAGTGCCATGCAGAGGGCTAGAGGCTTCCTGGAGCCTGCATTTTTTTTTTTTTAACAAACGCCTTTGATTTGGAACTTTTAACAAGCCACAGGCAGGCAGTGCTGCCTCTCCTGGGCCTCAGATCCTCTGATCAGCTGAAGAAGAGAGAAGTGTCCCAGGTGCAGGCTAAGTTTTTATTGCTCTGCAGGGCTTGGGGAGTCCGGTTCCTCCCTGCTCAGGAAGCTGCTGCAGCCTGCGCACACTGGGACTGTGATCTGCAGGAAGGAGACTTGTCACTGTCCCCTATCCCGTCTCTGGAAGCCTCTCGAATTTGCCTCCTGCGAGTCAAGGTCGAGACCAGCTCATGGAATGTGAGTGGTAAGCAGGGGGCTGCTCAGGCTGTCCTAGTTTATTTCGAATCATTACATGACAGGTATCAGTGGGCATACCTCTGCTACAGGATGCACTTGTTCTTCAAAATACAGCCTGCTTTACTGTCACCTTGGAATGGACAAAGCACACTGATTTGTCACCATAATACAGTTACTTTCTCCTGAGATTGGGCTGGTTTTAAAGCAACTGAATGTCTGTAGCCCTTAGTATATTTTATTCTGTACTTGAATATGTAACAGCATTCTAGCAAGTTCTAGAAAGATCTATGAGTTTAGACATTCATTCTAGGTTTAAATAAATTCTCTTGCACCAATTAAGCTTTACTATATCCTTATGGGTTGATTTGCTATTTAAAAAATTATAGTAATAGGTTTTCCTCCTTAGGTTCCCTCAACGTCTCCCCATCCCACCAGCAGAGGCGTGGGAGGCAGAAATGATAAGGTTATGTGATATGATCTCACTGGTCCTGGGTTGTGACACCTGTGGCTTGGAGGTTCACATTTACATAGTCCTTTAGCCCAAATGAGTAAGGTTGCACGCTCATTCAGCTGAGGAACTATGATTTAAAGCAGAACAAAGTGCTGATGTCTTGCTTCAGAAAACAGGGAGAGGGTGCCAAGCAGATGCCATTAAGTAGTTGGGGAGCCCATGTGGCGGACCCCGCAGGCTGAAGGGAATCCGGCAAAGTCACCTGGGGAATGTGGCTTCCCTGGCTCCCTCAGCACACAACAGTTTTGAGTTAAACAGCAGCCGAGATCCTAATCTCCTGATCAGGCAAGGACACACAATGTCTTTACCCCATGGCCGTCTCTCTCCAAGACCACCAGAAAAGCCAACCTGTACTCTTTCCTTTTTAATTAATTTAAAAAATAAGTATGCACTGCACAACACAAAGGGCGCAAAAGGGTGCAGTGTGGAAAGTCCAGCTCCTTCCCCCAGTTCCCTTCTCTAAGGGTGACCAATGGTACCCATGTCTTGTGTAGTCTCTAGTTCTAGCTGCCTCTGTGGCTTGGAGAAGTGGCTGTCAGCGCTGTGGGAGCTGGTAGACCGCAGTGGGAGGCCTTGAAGGAACTCTGGGAATCCAGAAGCCCTTCTATTTCTTGGCCACCGTATGGTGCACGGCTTTCTCCACCACACTCTCCTTCCATGGCTTGCTGCTCTGCCACACAGAAGCAACGGGGCCAAGCAACATGGGCGTGAAACCCCTGCCTTTCCTATGAATTCATCTACCTCAGGTACGTGTGCAGAGAAGGGAAGCCAGTTAAATACATACACTCCCAAACTACGGGCAAATCAAAGGCACCTGCAGCTTTTCACACTATATGGCTGTCAGCTTTTTTCACTGATTAATGTTTAGATCTAAAAACATCTTTTGTGTGGAGACTCCACATGTGTTTCACCCTCACCTGTGTCTGTAATGACTCACTTTTGCTATACAGGAGTCCCTCACTGCCCTTGGAGTGAGGCTCCAGGGCCCCCACACATAAGAGAAGCTATGACTGCTTAAGTCATTTATGTAAAATACACAATTTGAAAATATCCTGTGCACTTTCTCCTGTGTGTTTCAACTACCTTTACATTCCTTCTGATGTAACCTATTGTAAATGTCATGCAAACATTTGTCACAGTGTACTCTTTAGGGAATAACAAAAGGAGGAAGATCCCTGGGTGATCAGGACAGGCTCATGTTTTCTTTGCAAACCCTTCTTCTGGCTAGTTGATGCTGGGGGTGTGGGTCAGATTTTGCAGTTCAGACCTGTGCCAGAGACTCTTTAGGACAAACTTCTCTGGACAGGCTGGACTTCCACCTGACTAGCAAGTGATGACAGGGTCTCAGAGCCTGCACACTTATCCACACGGTGAATTCTCAAAGAGCACAAGCTGGCAACCGTAAATGAGAAAGTGTGACCTTCCCGCTTTAACTCACACCTCATGCTGACATTTTCCTTTATAGCGAAGGCCCCTTTTCTTTTTCCTGTGATCTGATTGCATATTTTTCAACTGAGATTTTTTGATTCTTTTTTTTTCTTGTAGAACTGAAGGCTGATAAGAAAACCAGTGGTTTAAACGGCAGTACTTTTGCAGTTTGACATTTATATTTTCTTTTCTTTTAAAGCTTTTATTTTTTTTAATTATGTATTTATGCATGGGTCTCTCTGCACATGTATGAAGGTACGCATGAAGACCAGAAGAGGGCATGGATCCTGGAGCTAGCTACAGGCAGTAAGCCACCTGATGTGGGTGCTGGGAACTGAATTCATATGCATGGTTTTGGATATGCGCCTACTCTCTTAGTGCAGGACGCAGGACGCTTTGTCTCATCTGGGCCTTTCTGTTTCCCAGCTATCAAATGGACACCCCAGGAAGCCTTCAACCACACCCAGCCCAGCTCCCCCCTGCCTGACTCCATGGTGGAGAGGAATGGCAGCATTTCCACCAGGATCCTGAGGACGCTGGATGCAACCAGCGCTGCCTGGTACATCCTCACCATCATCGGCATCTATGGGCTGCTCTTCATCTTCCAGCTGGCCAGCAACATTCTCAGGAGGAATGAGAGGTCCTTGGAGGACATTTACTACTCAAACTTAACTTCTGAACTCAAAAGGAAAGGGCTTCAGAGCAGGGTGGTCGAGTGCTCCCCGCTGACCCTCAGCAATGCAGCTGCCCTGGAACCAAAGCTAGCTCTTATGCTAGCCTCTTCCTTCTTGCGAACAATGTCCCTCCTGCTTTCATGTCACACATTCTGTCACCTTCCCTTGTGCCTCTCCCTTTATACCTCTGTATTTCCTCTGTCTTCTCTCAAACATCACACCCACACACCTGCACACGTATATAATTCAATCTGTATCTATACAGATAGTCTCAATATCTATGTATATGTACAGACATATCCGTGGTGTATTTGTATCTACACACACACACACACACCGTGAAACAAACACGGTGATGGTGTTTGTTTCAATAACATGGACATAGGAATTGAGTAATAGATGACAGATAAAGGGGTGCTAGTTTTTAGACTCTATTTGGTTTCACAAGCCTCTGCCTCCCTTCCACACCTCCAACCTAGGTAGAGAGAGAAGGCTAGAAAGCAAAGGGGATGTAGAGCTATTTAGACTTGGTTCCAGCTGGTTAGGGTCATCCAGTTCTTTGGGGAAAAAACCCTTATCTCAATGGTCAGCATGTCTAGCAGTGCAGAAACAGCAAAGGCATCGGGGCAGACAAGCAGCCTTCTTCCTCCTCCATCTGTCTCCATGAAGCCCTCTCTCTTGGCTCCTGTATTTATGCCCTCTCAGAGTCCTCAGAATTCCACTATCTGCAGCTGGCAAAGACCACACCCCTCTCCAAGTCCCATGAGGCTGTTGTCAGCTGGCAAGGATTATGCCCCAACGAGACAATTATCAGCTGTGGATAAACTAAGGCAGTCCCATATCCCACACTCGGGATTAAAAGAAAAACCTGTTTACATAGCATAACTGAGTTTTTAAAGAAACCAAAACTCCCACTGCACACATGATCTCAGAGGAGCAATGGGGGGGCAGGTAATCCTGGCCAGAGGTTAGGGGTGTGATGTAAAGGGGGGGTTCCAGAGGACTTCCCCTCCAAGAGCCTCACCGGGACCCAGAACTTAATAAATGCCTACCTAACAAGGGGCCAGAGCAGGTCACATGTGTAAGAGACCACAGCCGCTCTGGGTTCTGTGTAGTCCACAGCATATGGGTACCCCGTCAGTCAGAATCTCCCAAGTCTGGCAGGGGTAACACCAGTGTGAGGCACTGTGTGAGACACAGAGGCTCTTCCACCGGCTACGAGCCCTATCGGGAAAGTATGCACGAGGTGTTCCATAGCAAACTACAGCAGAATTGACGGATACACCACAGCACAGGTCAGGAAAAGAGACACATGCCAGCCAGTGTCTGCATTCATCCGTAAGTGGCACTTCTGAGGACTTAGCACGGCGGAAGCGGCCAGCAGGTCGGTTGTTGAGCCTGCCATTGCGTGTGCACACAAAGCCTGGGGCGCTTTGGACAATGCTGACCCGAGACTGCCGTTTGTCCAGGGGGTGCTGGACTGTCTATCACACAGCCTTGCCCCTCCTGCACTGCAGAACCCATCGTCACCTGCCTTCTACGTAGGTGGCCACCAATATCTGTCTGAGTCTCCCCATCAGTATGCAGGCAGCAGGGAGCTGCTGTCTTTGCAAGCTCGAACGGGTCCTTTGTCCCCACAGCTCCTATGGAGAATACACGTCACATGAAGTACACTAGAGAGCCTAGCTAGCAAGGCCACACAGACAGCAGAGGCCCCAGCTGGACCCTTCCCACTGGGGCCAGATGACATGTCCATGAAGGCTGATCATCCCCCAAGGGGCAGACAAAGTCTGGCCCTTAGGACCTAAGTCCCCCGAGGTTCAATAAGTAACCCCAAGGTCTAGAGGGACTTGTAGGACACAGGCCTTCCTTGTTAGTTCTGCATAGCTTCGAGCAAAATGCCTGGAAAGAATGACTTAAAGGAGAAAAGGTTAACTTGGAATCCCAGTCGAAGAGGCTTCAGCCTCAGTTGCCTGGGTTTTCACACGTGCACAGAACATCATGATGGCAGGAGCCTGTGAGGGGACTTCTTCCCCTGTGGCAGTCACGGGAGGAGGGGGAGGAGGGACTGGGGACCAGCCAAACCTTCGGGGGCACACCTCCAGGGACCCACTTGCTCCAATTAGACTCCACCTTCCAAATTTTATATCACGTCCAAAATGTACCATTATCTTATGTTCAAAACATGAGTCTGTAGGGGACATGTCACACAAAACAACAACACAGACACACGGGCCCAGCAGTGAGCCGAGAGGTAATGTGCTGTTTAGTCTAGGCCCAGAGCAGGAGGCGGCAGGAATGCTGCTAGGGGCAGACTGAACACAGGAGCCACACTGTTGGAAAAGGTGCAGTGATGGTAAAATCTGTGTTGGCAACCATTTACTTGTTAAGGTGCTGTACAGGGAGGATCAGTTTAAAGGCTCTTACACAGTGCTAGTACACACGCAGTCTTGGCCACCCTCCCACAGCCTCTACAGAGGAGGTTCAAGGACACTGAGGCCCAGAGAAGCTAAGAGATTGTACACTGTCACACAGCGCCAGTGTTAGGGCCACGCCTGACAGATTCTGCAGCTCTGTGATGTTTCTGCTACGTCTGTCCTAGTTTGCGCTCAGTTGTGATAAGCACCACGACCGACACAGCTTCAGGAAGAAGAGGATCTGTCTCACTCACGCTTCCAGGCCATAGTCCAGAGAAAGCCAGGGTAGAAACTCAAGAGGGAACCGAAGTGGAGACCACGGGGGAATGCTGCTTCCTGGCTCATGCTCATATAGCTTTCTGACACAGCCCAGGCCCCGCCTGTTTAGGGATGGCGCTGCTCACAGTGGGCCCTTCCACAATCCCTTCCAGTCACTGACACAATCAATTTCTTGCAAAGGACTCTATTCTAGGCCTGTCCTTGAAAGCTAGGTCCAGCTCCCGAACTGTGTAACATCTGGGGAGATGTCCTGTTCCCCACTCTTTGTGTAACATTTGGAGAAAGGTCCTAAGGGGAAAGATGCTCCTTGGTCATGCCAACAATCCTCAGTTCTAGAAAGTCCACTTTTTAAACTAATTGGCTTTCCATTTGTTTGTTTGTTTTTTTTTGTTTTGTTTTTTTAGGATTTCTTTTTAAAAAGAATATCATCCGTAGAAAAAGAAGCAACTGAGGAGTTGTCTCGGTTTCAAAGAGAAAGGGGAGGGCCTTTGGTCTCTCCCTGTTTGCTTTGTAAACACGGTGATGGTGTTTGTTTCAATAACATGGACATAGGAATTGAGTAATAGATGACAGATAAAGGGGCCAGAGCCACCCCCAGTACTAATGTGCTCAAAAACATTGTTTCCAGGCACCAGCAGCCAGGCCTTCAGGGTGATCTTACATGCCAGGCCCTCTTCTCATTGGAAATATCACCCCAGGAGCACATTTGGGGAGAATGGAAAGATCCAGTAGACAGACAGGCGCGAGTGCACACACACACACACACACACACACACACACACACACACACACACACACACAGGCCGGGGAAGGGGCAGGCCTGTCTACTGAGTTATAAGTTGGATTTGTCCTCAGGACTTGTTTCCTGCCCTGGTTTACACAGGAGAAAGCCAGACTCCCTAGGGACAGAATAATGCCATGAGGGAGCCAGAGGTGTCCACAGGCAGGGGTTTCCTCCCACCTGGGATCAGAAGAGCCTCCGGGTCACAGGTGTCCCCTGAGGGTGCCGTGCGGGGGCTTCGGTGCCTGGAGCTGGAGCTTGCTTGGAGAGTCTCATTCCAGCAAACTCCAGTGCTTGGGCAGCAGGCCACAGAGGCTTGGACCTGAGCAGCCCAAGGATGACCTCACTGCCCTGAGCCCAGTGTGATTCTATTTAAATCGTGCTAGCAACAGTGCGCATCTGTTTATGGTGACAGAGGCCTGGGGACCCCGGGGTGGTTTGGACTCCCTTGTGATTTGTATGACTAGTTTCTAACTACCCTGAGCTCTCAGCGAGTTTCAGCCAAAGCTCTAGGTTCCCAGCGGTTCCCCCCTTGGCTGGCTTACCTCAACCCCGCTGCCCCATTCTTGCTCTAAGGTATCATCAAAGGCATTTTATATCAAATTCCTGGTCTCCTTTCTATGTCAGATGCACTCACAATGAAATGTTAACATGCCCACTGAGTTGGTAAAGATTAAAATCTGTTAATATCGAGTGGTAGCAAAGACCACGAGCATTTCCAAGGGTGATGTTTCAGCTGTGTGTGGTTTGGCCCCTTCTGTCCTCTGCCATCCATATAGATGTGGAAGACTGACAGCACAGGTAGGAAAGTGTGGTGGAGGGGGCTGCCCAAACAAGCAGGGAGGGAGGGAGGAAGGGAAAAAAGGAGGGAAGATGCATAGACACAGAGGGACAGCGCCAGAGAGCATGCACACTGTCCCCAGTCACCTAACTGATAGCCCACCTCCTAAAAGCTCCTCCCTTCCCAGTGGCCCTACAGGGTGGCACCAAGCTTTGACAGGGCTTTTATGAAACACTTTACATCTGCTTCTAGCTCTGGGAGACCTGAGCCACCAGGGAGTTCTCTCATGCTGTGTCCATGGACAGACCACGTGGATGTGTGCGGACAGCACACGTGCAGGGAGGCTTAGTGACTTCACTGTGAGCACGTGCTGGCCCTTGAGCTGTGACTTCACTATAAACACGCATTCACACAGGCAGCCACCAGTCAGTCTGCCCCCAACCACTCTTGCTGCTTTGCACTCACCGCTTTGAGCCTCGCTTTAGCCCACCCATCCCCAGAGAGTCTGCAGTGCCATAGAACTATCAGCCAGACAGTCCCCAGAGTCCAAGAAAGAAGCAGAGCACAGTTCTTTAGTTCTTAAATTGTTCAAAAACAATTTAATGTTAGATTCTATTCAGGGAAGAGACTGTCGCTGTGTGGGGCTACTAGGATACAGAGTTCAGCAACAGAGAGGAGTCTCAACCCCAGCACACTTTGGAGAAGTGGGCCTTTAAACATGGAAGCAGTATGGGGTCAGAGGCTGGAGACAGTCCAAGCGAACCAGATGTCACCATGGGAAGGTGGAAGACGATCATAGGGAGTGTGCTGATGACCTCACAAAAGTGCAGGAAACGAAATGTGCTCAAGCCACAGGTCTTTGGACATGCCAGCCTCTTCTTCAAATCCTGGAGCTTTGTCTCTGCTGAAATATAAACCCCTCCTAATGGGTCTGCCTTCCTGGGTTCTCATGCTGGAACCCGCTCCATTCCTCCTCAGGAAGCGATGGTCCCAGCAGCCTCCCTGCAGCTGCCTACTTCTGGAGCTTCCCCACTTCTGAGGCCTGTCCCTTCTGACAGAACTCTGTGGACTTTCCCTACAAGATGCTGCCACCCTTGAAGGTGGACCCTATGGTCCTTCCATGATTTACTAGCTGGTTGGAACCTGGAGACATTCAAGATTTGCTGATGAAACAGGAAGGGAACAAAGGAAGGAATGAAGGAAAGAAATCAGGAAAGATTTCCCCCATTTTTGTCATGGGAATGGCTATTTCATTTCATCACTGATCCATTTCTCTTGTGTGTTTACTTTCTATTAATGTACACAAATTATAAAAGATAGCAGGCACTTTCATACCTGTCTATAAAGTACTCTGTTGTGGTGGTTTGAATAGGTTTGGCCCCACAGGCTCATGTGTTTGAATGCTTGGCCATAGGGAGGGAGTGGCATAATTAGGAGGTGTGGCCTTGTTAGAGAAAGTGTGTTACTGTGGGGTCGGGCTTTGAAGTCTTATATGCTCAAGCTATGCCCAGTGTGCCACACAGTTTCCTTCTGCTGCCTGTGGATAAAGATGTGGAACATTCAGCCCCTTGGGTCTTAGTTAAGGTCTTAAGTCTTACGGATTGACTTTTATTCAGGGCGAGAATGAAGGCCACCTTATTCTCTGCACGTGGGTATCCATGGCACTATTTGCCAGAGGGGCTGCCTTTTTGCCGATGTGTTTTGGGCAGCACTATTGAAAGTCAGATGGTTGTGGAAGTGTGGGTTTACTTCCGGTCCCTCTTCTGCCCCCTCTGTCTTCCTGTCTACTAGTGCCAGCCAGGCTGTTTTGGTCTGTGAGATTTTGTAACCAATACAAAAATAAAAAAACAAAAACTTAGTTTATCAATTTATGTTGTTCATAATATTGAGATATCATTTTGTACTAGTTATTTTTGTTGTTTAAATTGCAACTTAAATATAAATGTCCACATTTGACAAAACTAAATGAATCTCTAGAGCAGAATGTGTTCACTGAGCTTTCCCTCCACTCTCATGGTACCTAAGTAACCGTGTTTCAGTGTTTGCTTTATTTCATGTTAAATAAAGTCTATGTGATATCTAAATATCATTTCTATGTGAGAATATGAAAATGTGCACATCTGTACAAACATAAAACACATGCACACTCTCCCACACTTTTAACAAGTTCTCACATCTATGATTCTCAGAAGAGAAATCGAAGATGGCCTCAACAATGACATCACTGAACTAACTAGCCTTTGCACTGTCATTGCCGCCTGTCTGGTCCCTCCAGCCAGAGAGGAACAAGCTGGGAAGTGTGGACCACCACTCCGGAGCGCTCTGGTCACACACTTGGCATCTACGTCAAATTTAATCTGAAAAGTGTCTTACACTGCCAAAGAAATGTCTCCAGAGAAAATGGCCAAGGACAATTCCAAGCCGGAGCTGCTGTCTAGGGAGGACGTCTGGTAAGCACACGTGTCGTGCGAACTGGGCCATGGTGCTAGTCTGGGTTTTCCTGAGTCCCGGGGAGAAGGAAGAGGAGAGTCCCATTCACCCCACAGAGAAGCAAAGGACCAGACAAGTCATTCTGGCCACACTGTCATTTGGAGGACCCACTTCGGCGCATTAATGAACCACCTTTAGCTTTGATTAAAAGACGAGAAAATACAAAGGGAATTAACCTAGAAAGGTGGAGAGAAAGTGAAGTAAATCACTTTATCCAAGCGTAAAACTGAACACGATGGCGTATGTCTGCAATCCCAGAACTTAAAGGGCTGAGGCAGGAGGGCTGCCAAGGGGAAGAAGCCAGCGTGGGTCACGCAGGGTTACACAGCAAAACCTTGTCTCAAAAACTTAAATCAAATGCTGTTCTGACAGTGTACTGAACCGGCTCAAGTGCTGGCAGTCCCTGCGAGGGACAGGCATGCAGCCTGCTTCCTTTTCTCAACTTCCCTTCAGCTCAGGAAAAGCAAGCCTGACTGGAAGAGTAGGCAGGCAGGCGGCACAGTGTACAGGGTGCAGAATGGCACGCACCACTCACATTGCAGGCCTCCCTGAACACGTCCTGACTGCCCCTGGCACACGGCACAATGTCTGGTCCACAGAATGCGCAGGGTAAATACCTTTGAAATGGATGGATGAACATAATAATATCCATCCCAACAGCCAAATGGAAGGGAACCAGAATCCTGACCACCTTGAGGAGATGCGTTCCCGAACTGAGGCTAGGTGGCATTTTCAGTGGTTAGACTTCTGAGCACATGCCTCTCTGGAGTCTAGGGTGTAGCTATGGCTACACTGTGATAAAGCTGGCACAGCTAGGAGAAAGCCACTTATGAGGTCACCATCCTAGTCCTTCCAGAACTCCCCAGACAGGGGAATGTGACCCACTTGGGAGCCCCATGGCTCACTTTACACAGCGTCTTCTGAAAAACTTCATCATCAGAACTCAGTTTGACAGCGTCAAGAGGAAACAGTGCCTTCAGTATCTGAACACTCTCAGAACACTGCAATATGATGGATATAAGACTGTGTATTTTGGGGAAACTGAGATCCCAGAAACTCTTGTCACTGGGGAAGACTTTAATGATGACTATTACATGCACACTCCAACCTGGTGTCTCCTGCACGCTGGTGGCAGTCAAGGATGGGTGCCCTGGAAGTACCGGATGTTCCTAAGAGATGACCTATGTATCAAACAGGAAGACAGCCTCTTCTTTGAGTTCTGTGATGTTGTAAAGAAGACCTATGGGAAGTGTGCCATTGTGGTTAAAGGCAGAAAGCAGCAAGATGAGATGAAGCTGAAGACAGACAAGGAGGGAGAGCCCCACGCCTATGCTCCAACAAGCATTCCTCTAACAAGCATCGTGTGTTCCTCTGGAGTGGCCAAGTCCTACGGCCATGAGCTAATCTCTCTGCCGTCCCCCTATAATTACCTGAACCCTTTGGACTCAGCCTGGTCCTCCGTGAAATGGTTTATCATCAACAACAGAAAAGAGTTTTGTCTGCAGTCCACCGACAACGCCTACCGCTACCAGTACATACTCGTCAGCGACTTGATCAGCAAAGGAATTGAGAAGGTCAGCACGAGCAAGTGGAAGGCCTTCATGAACAAAGTACGGCGGTGGGAGAACTACTATCTTGGGAAGTTTTCCTAAGGGCGGTTCCTCCACGAAGCGCCAAGCCGAACGGCCTTTGCTGCTAACTGCGGAGTTTAACTCTGACTTCACTGCCGCCAGAGACGCTTGAGGGGTGACCTCACAGGAAGGCTGCCTGGATGGAGGGGTTCCTAAGGCTGCTGGCAAAGTCCTGGGGTTGCTAGAGGCTCCATTAAAATTGTTGATTACAGGGCTCACAGCTCTCATCTTGTGATGGCTACCTTAAGAACCACGGTCATGGGAGGATAGGGAAGTCGCTAGCCTAGAGGCAGGTAGTGGCAATCATGGTAATAGATGTACGATCAAAACTCAGGTCTAAGAAAAGAGAGAACCAAGTGTATAGTTACTTAAAAGGAGCCGTGGTGACATCACACGGTCCAAGGTAACAGGAAAATACGTGGCATGAGTGGAGGTCCTAAGGAGCCTACATATCCAACCTGCCAGAATCCCGTCAGAAGGGTTCAAGGGTGCTGTGGTGCTTGTCTCTGAGCCACGTGCAGTTCCTACCATACCCTAGTCAGGCCTGGGCTTCCTGCTGTGGGCCGGAAGGCTCTGTGGTTGCATGTTTGTCACAGAAAATGCCTGTCCCCTGTGAAACCTGTCACAAGACTCATTCTTCTTCATGCATGTTCAAGCAATAACTTCACAGCAGAGGTAACTGCTCAGAGGTGGGTGAAATAATGGCCTATGGGGGAAAATACAGAAAACCACAGGGCAGGAGCAGAAAGGGTGTGAGAACACTGTTCTTTGTGTTCAGTTTTGCTGAACCTAAAAAAAAAAAATAGTTCTAAAGACAGCGTATTGAAAAATAGTTTATGAAAATGTCCACCCAACTCTCAACAGACTTAACTGTGGATGAAGTTATGAATCCAGGCCCCTGCCAAGGGCAGAACACTTCACATTCTTGTCTTGTCTTTCTTCTTTCTTAACCCTTCCTGTGTTATTCAGTAAGAGGTTGTGAGATGAAAAGAGTTTTATGCCCTTTAGTCATAAGTGGTGGTTTCAGCAGTCTTTGCAAGTTGGAGCAAAGGGGACCTTAACATACATCTTATCTACACGGTGCCACACCCCAAGTCTCCAACCACTGGATCTCCAATGCTCCACCAGTTGCAGATCCAACCTTTACACTCTGCTGTATGAGCTTCTGGTGGCTGCTGCAAATTCGGTGGCTGGAAGTAGCAATTTATTCTTTGCTGCTCTGGGCGTTAGGAGGCAGGCGTCAGGTCCACTGATATGAATCGACCTTAGGCAGCATGGCCATAGCTGTGGGCTCTAGGGAAGACTATACCAGCTTTTCGAGGCTTCTGATGGCTTTTACAGTCTATTTGATGCCATCTCCACATCCTACCACTCCTCCTCATAAGAGAAGGCACAGGCTCTGGGGATCAGGATGTGACTGCCTCTTCCGTCAACTGCTGCTGCGAAGCAGGGAACAGTATCTTATTCTGCCCATTGAAATGCAGCATTTCCCTTTGAAAATTAAACCAGCTCTGTGCAGCACGTTGGTGTGATCTTTTCTCTACTTCAAGTGTGCTTTGAGATTTAAATCCCTTAGTATGACTAGTATTTAGACTTCCTTGGTCTCCTCAGCTATCACTGGGCTTGAGTTTGGGGGTATAAGTGGGATTTGTCTTAATAATCGAAGGCACTGTGTTATGTTAAGATGTCTGTTGCTTGGGAAGGACACCGTGACCATGGCAACTCTTAATACAGAAAATATCTAATCGGAGGCTGGCATACAGTTCAGAGAGTTAGCCCACTGTCATCATGGCAAGAAGCATGGTGGCATGCAGGCAAGCATGGTACTGGAGAGCAGCTGAGAGCTGAACATCTGTACCAGCTGTTAGAGAGAATGGCACTAGGCCTGGCCTGGGCCCACCCCAGTGACAGACTTCCTCCAACAAGGACACACCTTCTCCAAAAGGCCACACCACCCTATGAGCCTATGGGGCATTGTCATTCAAACCACCACAATAGCACACCTACCCAGAGCTCTAGGAAGAGATGTGCAGGAAACAGAAGGAGATGTGTGAGGGCTGCAGGGGAAAAACTGTGGACTCTGGTGTCCGCTGTCGTGTGTGTGTGTGTGTGTGTGTGTGTGTGTGTGTGTGTGTGTAAAGGAACCAGTTACTCATGTAACTGCACAAGTTAACTCAGTTCACCATCATCACAACAGCTGCCATGCTGTTGTATGTACATTTTACAGATGTGGAAGCTCGGGGCACAGAGCCCCTGTGTGAGCTGCCGTGCAGAGCTAAGACTTGAATATGGGTCACAGTTCGGGCACAGCTGGCACTGCCTCACACATCACATTTCATGTTCGAGGCAATCCACCAGGCAGCTGCTACCGTCACTGTTCCCTGTTTGACATAAGAGGAAGCCGAGAGGTGGGTCAAGTCCCCAGGGCTGTCAGTTTGTGAAGACAAGCTTGGGCTCCCGACCGCCATGCTTAGCTTGGTTCCTTCCCTCAACTGCATTTTATAAGAAAATCAACACAGGCACCGCCCAGCAGACAGCTATACACCACAACAAAAACACATTTCAGCACAGAACGGAGGGGAGACAGGCAACTTAGAAAGCCTCAGAGAGGGCAGTGCAAAGTGAGTTAAACTAACGAGCAAAGCAACTGCATGTCATCTGGGTAGCAGATGATCAAGATGAGCTCCTGGGACAGAGTCTCAATCTGATGCAATGGGTTCAGGCTCCATCGCTGTAAAGCTTCGCTTGATGATTCTACGCAAGCAGAAGAGAACTCAGTCTAACCAATGGCCTCAACGTGGCTGCCTTAATGTGCAGTTTGGTTTTGCAGTAGTGTGAAATGTGGCTTTATGCCACACACAGAAAGGTCAGCAGAAAGCCACAGAAGGTACATGGAGCTTGGGAACCAGTGGCCTCTGCTGGAATTTTATTAATGACGAGACCTTGGGTAAGCTGCTTTGCTTCCTTGAAACCTGATTAACTCATCAGGAAAATAGGTTGAGGGCCTAAAAACGGAGTCACGTGTGCAAAAACCACCACACATGACTGGCCCCTAGCTCAGAAAGAAGCTGTGTTGCTGTGGCGGTCAAGGCGAATGTCCACAGTTAAATGGACATCACTGCCTTCATTTCCTTGCTGTTATTTGAGGGAGAAACTTTGCTCCCTGCCATTTATGAATGTGTGCAGTGGGCTGTCCCTGTGGGGGTGGGGCAGGGAGGCTGGAGAACAGCAGCCCAGGGTCTCACTGGGAAGAAGCAGGTGAAAGGGAAGGTATACAATGCCTCACCCGTGTAGGATTGAACCAGTCCTCTGCAGCAGCGTTTGAGGCACTGCAAGTGTTAGTTTCCTTGCGGGATGGCTGATGGAAACCCACCTTCTTTGGCCTTTCTGCTTCCCGCCGCTGTACCCCACTGTCTTCCCATGAACCAGGGAGGGCGTCCAAGAAGGCAGAGGTTTAGAAACGACGCTGTCTTAGAACCAGCAGGAATAAATGTGATGGTTGCGATATGGGCCACCCTGTGTGCTTGATCCCTGGCCCCCAGCTGGGGGCGATGTTTTGGGAAGCTATGGTTCTGACACACATAAGGTCATGGGAGGGTATTGTTTGAGGGCTACAGTCCTCCCCTGCCCTTCCTCAAGTCCTTCCTTCCTTCCTTCCTTCCTTCCTTCCTTCCTTCCTTCCTTCCTTCCTTCCTTCCTTCCTGTTAGCATAGCCATTTCTGCAAGCTCCTGCAGCTAACAGACAGCTGTCCTACCATAGTGGACTATACCTGAGCCCAAGTGAATCTTTCCTCCTGCAGAGTCACACTTGAAAGGCATTTTGTCCCGGCGTGAGCAAGGTGAGGAACACAATATGGGGATAGAATCTTCAAATATTGTCTCCGCCCAGCCAAGTTGGACAATCATACAAGTGGTACACACTTTTTTTCTGTGAGTGATTTTTTTTTTTTTTGTATGGCAACTTTTCTTTCCATATTCAGTTTTGTTGGGTTCAGACAACCACTATGTCCCGGGAAATGGCCTTTGAGATCATTTTATAAGCAAAGACAAGGCTGGATTGATGACCCACACCTAGGCACATACACCACCAGTGACAGGATGGTGAGACCAGACTCCAAGGCTTCCTACCAGAAAGCCCTTGTGCCCATCTCTCCAGGGCTCCACGCACCAGGTGGCATCAGGTTGGGCCAGGAATCCAGAGATGTCACCAGACTTTCAGGTACTTCATCGCCCTACCAAAGTAAGGAGTGCCAACGGGGCTGTCCTGGCACCCATGATGGCCTTCAGGTACAGGATCCAGGGTCTTAGCTCTGCTGGGGCCACAGAGGTCTTTTCATCACAGATCACTATGGGAAACCAGGAATGTCGAATACACAGGGGTATGTCCTCAATGGAGAAGATAAAATACCTGCACTCCACCCGGAGAAAGCCAAGAGTACATGTTGCTAACAACCTGGAAACCTGCTGTCTGTGGAGGCAGACCTCCCCCGAGCCCCAAGGATGGGACCCACTTGTAATCATCAGCATCCACACGAAATGGATGCTCCCTCCCTGGACCCTTCTCTTCAGCTCCCAGGCAATAGAACCATCCTGAAGGGAGATTAGCCTGCTGACCTCTGCTGTCTCCATCAGAGACCACACCCGATCCGAGGCCCTTTACCTGCAGACTCCGTCTTCACGGTCACACACACTTTGTAAGGAGTTTCTATGTGGTCACACCTTAAGCTCTATTGGCACATGGATTGGAACAGTTCTTTCCTGGAAACTTGGAATGGGAAAGCTTGTTGCCTGGAAACCTTTCCCCAGGTTCTAGTGTGCTTAACTATCCCAGCACTAAGCCACCTGGTATCAGTCTCCCAAAGTCTGATCCAGCCTACGTCAGGCTGGGCTGAGTGTTCATTCTCACCTCTTCGCAGATAGTTTCCCTGCCTCCATGGCACCTGCATGGACCCCTCATTGCTCCATGATCTTAGGCTTGGTTTGAGTCTCTGTTACCTCATAGTTTGAAACAACTTCTGAACAAGCCTTTGTGTTAGCAGTCCCACAGGCAAAGGAGAAAGGAAGGACACAGAGCTCACTCCGTCCCCTTCATTCACTATTTGCAGTGCTAGGGGTGGAGCCCAGAGCCTCAAGCGCACCAGGACAGGGCTTTACAGTGAAGCTGCATCTGCAGCCCGTCTCATCCCCTCTGGCATGAGCACGTGTGTTCGTGTGCTGTGTGCGCACATGTGTGTGTGTAGATGAACACCTGAGCATGCACACTCCATCACTCTCTGCCCCACCTCTTTGAGGGAGGGTCTCTCACTGAGCCGTTGTCCTGCTCTGCCCCAGCTGTGGCACAGGAGCCCATGGCTGTGTTGTTTTCTCTGTGGTGAGGATGATTTGAATGAGGGTCCTCCTGCGTGTGCAGCTACCATTCTTACAAATTCGCTCTTCAGCCCCCTATGTCATCCCTTAAAGAAATAAATTCTCTTAGGTGTATGGATGTTTGATCTACATTTGTGTGTGTACACCACGAGTGCTTGGTACCCTTAGAGGCAAGAGGGCACTGGATCCCCTGGGACTGGTGTTACAGACTGTGGTGGGCAACCATGCGGATGCTGGGACCCCAACCTGAGTCCTCCGAAAGAGCGGCCAGTGCTCTTCAGCTCGGAAGCAGCAATCTAGTCCCTCACCTCATCCTTTGTAAGGGACTGTTCGGAAAGTCCTAACATGCTCACACTTGGTTGGCCAGACTTAGTCACAAGGAGAACTGGGAAATGAAGTCTTGGGTTTGCGGCACTATGGCTATGGACCGAGCAACGGCACAAGGGGAAAAGGTGTGTCACGGTGGGCATCTACGGTTTTGCTCAAGCTCCCTGCTTCATTCTTTGATGTTATCAGTCAAGCATTCATCAAGTATTCCAGGACCTTCTACATGGATGAGAACAGGTTGGGTCTGGATACCATAAAAAAGCAGCAAGGATGCTTCAGGAAGTCAGGGTTCAGCAATAGAATGGCTCAGCAAGGTGTGGGGTTTGTGCATGAGATGAAGGCCCACCCAGGGAGAGGCACACATGACTACTGCACGGCTGGACACCCACCCTAAGGGACAAACCTCCTCCCCTGGGTGCATGACATGACGCGCGTGACATGTGCAGTCTGACCCGTGGAGATCTGGCCTGGTCAGGTTGTTTCTCGTGCCATGTCCTCCACCATGGCCTCTCTGTCTTTGTGCACTTCGAGCTTTGTCAGCTTAGCCAAGAAGGTGGGTGAGGGGTGTGAGATTAGCAGGGATCTGCAGGAGGACTGCTGGGGACTTGTCATGGCGAGGACGCGGTTTTCATTAGTGCTCCTCATGACAGCTCACAGCCACAGGGATGGCTGCCTACTTTCTAACCGTGCCTCAGCTGCTGGCTGAAGTCCTGACTCTGCCTGTGGGCTGCACCATCCTGTCTGCCAACTTCCAGCCACTGCTTCCAAACCAACTACTTAAATCCAACTACAGCTCCTCAGGCTTCATTTAACTTAAGCAGTAAGATCAATGGCACCAATGGGTGGGTGATCATCTCCGCCTAGTGGCAGAAGAGTGCACTGCAAGTAAAAGAAACAAAACTCCAGTGTTCCCAGGAAAGCACTAGGTATGGGCAGCGGCCAAGCCAGCCCCTGGGTCATCATCCAGGTAATGTTCCAAGAAGACAGCCATGTGTTCTGCAAAGCCAAGGCCAGGGAGGAATACTTCACATAAATACCTGCAGGTCAGGCAGACTTGACTCCCTAGTGAAGGTCAGTGGACGTCTCTGTCTTGAATGTAGGAGGAATGTGATAGGTAAGCTGGAGGACGGGGTATGCAGGATCCTGGGGCTGAGGTCAGACACCCATGCTCTGAGCTGGCTGTGTCCTAACCCTGCAAAGTGAGTAGCAGACAGAGGTTTGAAATGGGTGGCCCTGCCTGAGGCCTGAGAATCGCAGCCTATGGTCCAGGGTCAGGTCTGAGCTCCATCTAGGCAGAGCCACAGAATCCCAAACCTTGGACTCTGTGCCTCTGCAGACCACAGAGGGAGAGGCCAGTCGGAGAGGCCAGTGGGGACAAGCTAGCCAGGGCTTCTCCTGATGCTCCCCCAGCTGGGGACCATCCCCTACAGCAGTGCCACTGTTGACCTAGGCATGCACGCACAAGGGCCCAATATTTGCCATCACAACTCTACAACCAGTGTGTGGCAGAGAAAGGAGGGCCTGAAAAAGTCCTCATACCCTGTGGTGGGAAGGAGAGGAGAGAGGGAGGGTGGGGGGAGACGGAGAGAGATTATACAGACAGCCTTTTTTAAGAAATGTATTTTATTTCAGTAAGCAAAATACTGGCTCTTCTAAAAACAATAAAAATTCAAACTGTTCATCATTTAAGTTAAAGGTCTTGGCCAGAAGTGCATCCTTTGACATCCAGTAATTGCCAGATCTTTCTTCTCTCTTCTCTGCTGGAGTCCACCGGGGCTGACATTTAAATAGAAAACTCTAGAAAGAAAAAAGACCACAGCAATGAAGGAGGCACTGGGCAACACAGCATGGTGCTTTGCACACTGGGCACCAACTGTGTGCGAGCTTTCGGGCCCTGGGGAGGCTGCTCAGCTTGACCTACTAATCAGTGCGTCTGGACACACGGTTTCTTTCTTTGATGCGGGCCCTGGACAAGCTGTGGGTCTGACAGAAAGGGTTAGCTCCTGGGTCGGTTCTACACAGCGGGGTGCACACCCACGCTCAATGAAAAAGCGGGGCCTGATGGGCACTGATGACTCCGCTGAGAGGAACCATGGCTGCCGGCAACGTACTCTAACGAGTACCTTAACTAATGCCATCTGCCCTCAGCATTTTAAACTGCTAACCACCCTGCCTCCAACTAGCACTGAGGCCCAGACTTCCTGCTTATTCTTGCACTTCAATGCCTAAGACAAATCTAGGAAGGCAAGACTCCACAGTGGTGAACTCTTCTGCCTGGCAAGGTCTCCAACGCTCTGAGAACCAGCGAGTGGTGCTGGTTTGGGAGTGGCAGACTGGTGGCAGTGCTCCTATGGTCTTGTTTTCTGGTACACTTGGGAGGTGACACAGCTTGGGATTGAGTAGCGTGGCTCAGTTCCCAGCTCTGCTCTCCACTGCTCTCAGCCTGATGTCACCTCAGGGAGGTGTCAGGAGGGTGGAGGGAGGCAGCCCTGTGTGAAATGCTCAGTGAAATGCCTAAAAGACCCCTCAGTGCCCCAGTCTCTGAGGGAACACCTGCAAAACCATGGGGTCAGGTGGGCAGCACTGGAAAGCCAGAGGTATAGCCCACAGCGACCTGGAGCTAAGTAGACTGGGTAAGAATCACCTAATGGATTTTCAAAGGAGCAGCTGCCCAGCCATGGACACTGTGGACATGGTGCCCTTTCCTGAGGCTGGAACCTGGGCACTGCGCTCCTTATAAGCAGCACTAGAATCCAGACAACCCTGGGGGGAAATTCTGATCTTCAGCTGCATTCTGGAACCAGAATCTAGGATTGAGAATCCCTGCTCCCCATACTAAGAAAGTCTCGGAGTCCAGCTTGATAAGTATAGAAACATATCCACACGTGAGGGTCAGTGATCATGGTGTGTGTGTGGCAAGGCCCAAAGCGTAGTCCCCAGGCTGTCTCTGACTCTGTTGCCTGCCTTTGGATCCCCTTCCCCTAGCTGGACTGCCTTGTCTGGCCTCAGTGGGAGAGGATGCACTTAGTCCTGCTACAATGTGAGGTAGCAGGGAGAAAAGGGAGGAGGATGGGGGAGGAGTATGTGGCAGAGGTATGCGACAGAGGTATGCGAGGGTGGGGCTGTGAGGAGGGGGAGGGCTGCGATCTGGATATAAAATGAATGAATAAATAAGTTGGATAGAAAAGAATAGTCCCAGGACCCTTGAGTTCAGACCCCCCCCCTCCAACACACAATGAGCTACAGTGATGTGCAAGGCCCATGACTGGGGTGGAGCTGTCTGCAAGGGCTTGTTAGGAACACTGGGCATAAAAGTTGCCCCGATCCAGGAACGGCCTGGGAGCACAGGAGGTGGACTGGAGACAAAGGAGGACTGACCAGATTATGAACAGACTGGGAAGGGATTCTTTGCCAACAGGGAAGTCGGACCTCATCCTGAAGATAACAGGGGTCCTTAATCTGACTTGAGTCTCCATCTCCACTAGCATGTCAGCAGATTCATACACGGCTACATGCTTGCAGTTCTCAGTACATGGGCTTCTCCGCAGCTGAAGTCAGGGTTCTGAGCCACCCCGTCCATAAGGAAACACAACAGGCTTGGAGCGGAGGCCTGATATTCTAAATGGTCAGCAGCGGGCTGGGGGTGGGGGCAGAGAGGCAGAGCTTTGTGCCCTGTCTGGGGGGGGGGGGCATGCACCCTCTTGCAGCCCTTCAGAGGAAGGATGCAGAGACCTCAGGCTGCCACACCCTTGGCTAGGTGCTGCGGCCTCCAAACAGGTTCTGTTTACAAGGCTCAGTACCTCTGATGTCTCCTCAGTTCTCTTTCTTCTCCGCCTGCTTCTTCTCAGCTTGAAGTTTTGCCTCCAGGCGTCTCCTTTGGTACATTTTCACTCCCGCAAAGGCCAGGCAGAGGATCAGGGTTTTTGCTGCTAAGATATACAGCAGCAGGGGCACGTGGTCGAGAACCTCAAGGGAGAAAGACACAAGCTGATTGCTCCAGCATTGACTTGGCTGGTCTCCACTTCCTCTGTTCCGCAAATGTTACTGAGTGCCTACGATGTTTCCAGCAGAGGGTGGTGTGTGTGTGTGGGGGTCATCTTGGTTATTGATGCAGGAGGGCTCAGCCTACTGTGGGCAGCACCATTCCCAGGTAGGCAGCCCTAGGCTGTGTGAGAAAACTACCTTAAGGGGCCAGAGAGATGGCCGGGGGTTAGAATGAAGCCAGTCCTCGGCTCCTGATCCAATTTACATGCATCCACGTCCCTCCAATCGTATCTAAATCCTGTGATTCACTCTTGGTTTCGGGGTATGTGTTTAGCAAATGGGGCACTGGCTGCTCTATGCTGGGAAATCCCTGTACCCTAGGAGCCTTCTGCGGATTGTCCCTAACTACGGGGAGGTCCTAACTGGCGAGGAGACATAGTCCCACTGTTGAGGACTGACTCTCCATGGCTGCATTTCCTGGTAACACACAGCTCACCCTCCCACCCTAGTCAGCTTACAGTTACGGCACGCAGCCAGCCACAGCTCAACCGGATCCAACACCTTAGAAACTATCTGACCATTGGGAATGGATCTCCGATAGAATAACGGCTACCATGGCTGAGGAAGAAGATAAGTGCTCAGATTGCTTCATTTCTCTAAGACAGGTAACTGTGTCCACTTTCATCCACTAAGAGTAAAGATGGAGCAGCTTATGCACACTGACGGATTGCGGTGTGACAGCGCAGAGGACAGTGATGGCATTCTCCATGTTCACAGGGCTGACCTAGGCTGCTGATGTGCATGTCATGAGTTTCCTTCTGAGCCCGGTTGGCTAACACACAACCCCCAACACACACACACACACACACACACACACACACACACACACACTTGCCACAAGCCCCCAGGCTTTTCTCCTGAATCCCACATTCCAAGGGTGAAGGATCCACTCCACGCTCACTAACCAGCCCTTGGCAACTGTGAAGCACTGCCACACAAGTTTCCCAGGCTGCTCTAGGCGGCCTGAAGCCCACTCAGTCTCAACAGGGTACTGTCTTAGCCCTATGAAAACACCCTGGGTTCCAGTCAGGTGGAGCCCACATCACAGCCCTGTCAGATCTTATCTCAACAGGAAATTACAAAAGCATGCTCAAAGGGAAATACCACAACAGACACAGGCTAAGTGGCTTCACTATTTATTTTCTTTTTATAGGAGCTAGAGAGGCAAGAGTTTCCAGGGTGTGTGCCAGCAGAGGACATGGGCACTAATGGGCTAAGGAATGGGCCCTTTTCCTGCCCCTTCTAGGGCACTGGCTTCAGCTGGCCTCAGTTTCCCTCCGATTTCCTTTTACCTTTTATCTTTCAAAATATGCAGACCTGTAAGGGGGAAATGACTACTGCTTTGGTGGGTGAGATGAACTGTGTGTGTTGCATGTCCTGGTGCACTTGCTTGTGATTACATGAGGATTATTTTTCTTTCATTCTTCACTGAACATGGAACCCAGCTTACTGTTTTGCCTAGAGTGGCAGGCCCACAAGGCCCTAGGATCTGCCTGTCTTCACACATACAGACACACACTGACACACACCTTCATACACACACACACACACACAGACACACACACACACAGCCTGTGTAGTCAAGGCTGGCCCTGAACTCCCGATCCTTCTGCTCTACCTCCCCACTGCTGGGATTGCAGGTGTGTACCAGCCTGGCAAAGCAGCTGTTCTTTTAACCAACCTCTGCCTCACCTCCAGGGTTTCAAGGCATTTAACCAAATCGTGCCCTTTCCCTCTATGGTAAGCAGGGCTGCTGCAGCCCACAGCCCTCAACAGGCAGCCCACAGGCTAGCTCTCGTCTGCCCTCAACCTCTGTCAGAACATTCTAGAGGAATCTTTCGCATTTATTTCCCAATCCATTCAACTTGTCTTTGGTGCTCCCATGGGTAATTTAGGACTATTTTTTTTTTAAGGTGGTTTCCATGAAAACTGAGTTGAATTCTTTGAGAGATTCAAGTGTGGCTAGGAAAAAATAAAACCAATGCTCTTGGCAAAACAACTGTAAGAGATTATGGAGGAGGGCCGTAAAAACTGGAATTCTGGAAGATCTTCATCCAGTGACTTCAACCCATGCGTGTGCATCAAAGTTCTCAACCATCTGCAGCCTGAGGCTAAGCACTCGTAGGCCAAGTCAAGTTAACCCCCAGGGCGCCCTAAGGGCCTGTCTCCCAGGTCCTTCTCCATCTCTCAGAGTTGACACCAGAGATCAGCCTCCATCCATGATGGCTCCACTTCTAAATACCATCACACTGGCCTCGGAAGTACAATACACAGATTGCACAGGCACAAACATTCACCCATTACATTGACTTAAAGAAAAAAGAATATGAAATTCTAACAGAAGTTTGAAAGGCCTGCTTTCTGCAAGAACAGTAGAACAGGTCTAAAGCTGAGAGGGGTATATCCAAAAGAAAAGACCAGCCTTCCTCCAGAAGTCTGAAGAACAAATGCAAATTTACAAGTTTTAAACTTGAAACAATCAAATGTGATTATATTTTGTCTACTTTGTTTAAAAAAAAAAAAAATCCCCATTCCCACCAGGCTCCAGTGAATGATCCAAAGCCAGAGTAACACACACAGCCCTGGTTAAACTTAAAAAGTCACAAGATAAAAGAAAAAGCCATGCATGTGAAAAGGGGTCTTAGAGGGAGGAAGGGAAGTTGACAGGAGTGGAAAGAGAAAACAGGCTGGGAGTGAGAATCATCAGCATTATATGTACAGAAGCTGGTTAGAGAACAGACTTAATTAATTAAAAAAAAAAATACCACTGTATGGATACAGAGTATCGACTCTACTGCCACTTTTAATTCTTTACAATCATGAATGCTATCCTTTGTATCACTGTTAAAGACTTGTTCCCCAAGGTGATGCTACTACAAAATGCCATGAACCTTTCAGGGAGTGGGGTGTTAGGAGGTCCTTAGGTCACTGGAAGGCTGTCTGCAGAGGGGGTGTGACACTCTGCCTCTCCTTCCACTTTGCTTACTGGTTCCTAGAGTGAGAAGTCTTACATTCCGGCAGGTCCACAGCAAGGCTGGAATTTCCAGGCTCCCAAAGCTGTAAGTAAACCAGCTAACCAGCTCAGGTGTCCCACCAGTGTGACAGAAATCATATGTGGAAAGACAAAAACAAAACAAACAAACCATAAATTTTAAAACCACTCTCACCTTCCAGTTCATGGCGGGCCAGTTGTGAGTTCACTCCTGACCAGTGCAGCTGGTGGACACAGTCATGAGAGGCCGATGGGAGGTCAGACCTGAGGAGCTGGGCGTCCTCACCTGGGGGAAGGAAGAGGAAAAGAATCAGGTCAGTGCAGTTCCTCCAGGGCAGAGCACATCAGGGAGCCATGTCTCCCAGAGAGCGGGTAAGCGCTGCAGACGTAGGTCAGGAGTCCACACAAGGTGAGCCAGGGCTCTCCCCTCGGCAGCTCCCTGCACAGCACCACTCCTGGGACATCTGTCCCATCTCCTGATGTGCACCTGAAGCCTGCACTCATAAACGGACCCCAACCATCTCCAGATGCTATGACAAGCTACTTCGCTCATCCTGGCTTTTAAAAGTTATCTGGGAAGAAAGAATAAGCGAGAGAGCAAAATACTATCCTATAATAATAATAATAATAATAATAATAATAATAATAATTTCATTTGTACATAAAATTCCTTCTAAAGAGTAAAGGAGGCCTAGAGCAAGTGACAGTGCAGAGACAGCCAGAGGACAGGTATTCTCCAGGGCCTTATGGCTCATTATCTTATGGTACCTGCCCCACTGCGGAGCGCTTTAGATCTGGATAAGGTCACACTGTGACCGCTGACCAGACAGGACCTACTGTTTCTGAAGCTTGACTTCACAGCAAGGTACTGACAGTTTGACTCCACGTGCCAGTCCGTGCCAGTGTGCTTAGAGGAACACAGCCGACTAGTTTGTACTTCACCACCTTTACTTTAAAGAGGGAGGATAAGGCTTAGGTAATGCACCAGGCTCTCCTGGGTGTGGCTGGCATCTGAGCCCATCTGGTACCTGAGGTCTCTGTCCCAAACATTATCTCCAGGTTCTTGGCATCTTATTAAAAAAACTAAAACAAACAAACAAACAAAAAAACCTGAAAATGCACACAGATAGAAAAGTGATGAGGACGTTTGTTCCGAAGCACAGATATAGTACAGGCCCGATACTTTACAAGGGACCAATGAGCTACCTGAGCTGGGTGGGCAAGAGTACCAGGTTGCTGTCCATGGCTTCCTTTTTCAGGTTCAGGAGGGGTTAGGGGATGATTCCCAGGGGTGTCCTTTTGGTTCTAATTGATAAGTTTGCGGTTCACATCTTTTCAATTTGATTTTAAACCTATATGCTCCCAATTAAGCATAGCCAAAAGAAGGCAAATAAGGATTTCTTTCCCCAAAATATTCATGTTGAAGTCACAGTTTGCCTTACCGTGCATATACCCAAAACCAGTATATGTTGGATCTAGCCGTGTTCCCTAGTTTCAGGGTATGTTTGGTCACTAAAGAGGAATTATTGAGGGTTGCTAATGAGCTATGAGGTATGCATGCAGCTCCACATGTGGGTGGGCGTGGGGGGGCCTGGGGGGATCCCAGCTTGCAGTGTGGGGAAGGCAGTCTGTGTAACTCAAGCCAAGCATTCTCCCTGGTTTGCCTTTCCTTGCCTGTCTTACATTCAGCAGTCAGGTCCAGGAGCTTTAGCCTCAGCCTTGATACAGAGAGCTTCAAAAGCCCTTTCCATCACGGAACTTAAGATCAGAATTAGAAAGGCAACAGGAAATCTCACAGGCCTTTCGAATAGGCTTCCTTAAGTAAACCTCTAAGGGAGATGGTTTAGAGAAAAATTTTCAATTATGAAAGTATCTAATGTGTATTCAATCTATTCAAGGTTATAGAACCTTGAAAACCAGCCAGCTATTGGCACAAGGTGACCAAGTTTCCCCCTTGGCTTGTGTGAAGTCAGGTAAGCTAATAAGCATGTAACTCAAAGCTCTATTTACATGTGATAGCGGTGGCTGAAGGTGCGGCTACCTTCATGCCTTTGCCTTTGTGTGGCAGCAGATTCCGACCAATGCTAGAAAAATGAGTTCTCTGCATGTTATAACCTGCTGCTAGCGGTTATACTTCGAATGTCTAGTAACCTTAGGGATTAGCCATGCTGTATATAACAACAAATAATTACATTCTTTTCCATTTTACATTTATAATTCTTTTTTAATTGAATTGTGTACATATTATATAGTAGATGATTTAACTGTTTCCCAAATTCCCTATGTGAATTGATATGCACAGGATATTAGTCCCCAAGGTCAAGGAAAACAAATAGGTCCAAGAAACTTACAAGAGAAATAAAATGAACAAGAATGCCTAGGGGTCTGGAAGTCTGGCAAACTTATTACCCTAGCAGCTATGTGACCTTGGTACTCAGCCTCTCAAAGCTTCCTCCATCAGTAAATTCCCCTTCAGAAGTTGGCCAGTAATCCCGAAGAACCATGAGTGACACTCAGAACGCACTAAGTCAATGCCAAACATTATCGTTTTGATAATCTCTCTTTTGCTAATGGGTCTGCCGGACGGCAAACAGCCAGGGGTGGGGGTGGGCTGTAGTCAGTGCAGGACAGCAGGCGTGGATAAAGGATAGGGAAGGAGGACAAAGGGACTCCACTCCAGGTGGCAACCACAGCAGGGCATATGACCCGGGGAAACCATTAACCTCCTGAGCCAAAGTGTAATAACAGGGTCCAAAGACTGAGTCTCCCACTCTGGAATTCACAATTCTAGACCTCTCTGATGTCACAGAGCCTAACGGCAACAAGAGTGGCAACTAGAGGGCTAAAAGGTAAGGTCTCTAAGGAAAGAGAGGTCTCTAAGGAAAGAGAGGGCTCTGGGTGTGGCTCAGCCACAGATTTCCTTACAAAGTAGTCACAAAGCGCTGGGTTCAACCCACCTAAGCCACAAACCTAGCGGTGGTCCACACCTGTTAGCCTAGCACTTGGAAGGTGGAGGATCAGGGTTCAAGGTCATCCAAGGCTACAGAGAGTTTGAAGCCAATCTCAGATACAGGGGTTCCTGCAAAGAAGGGGAAAGAGAAGAAAAACAGAGGAGGAGGAAGTAAACGAAAAAGGAAATCTGTAATAGCCATAGTGTGTGGGGTGAATCGATGTCGCAAGCATCGCAGATCAGCCTTGCTCACTTTCACCCACCCCTTTAAATTACACGCACCAAAACAGACATTTTCATGGCGGCTTGCAAGCCTTCTGCAAAGGAGAGGACCAAGAAAGCTAAATTTAACAGTCTGCCCTGATATCGTGTATCAGATATTGATGCCCTTCAGAAACAAGAGTCGGCTTGCGGCAGGGAGAAACAAAACCAAAGGGGCGGACAGCTGGGGGGCTTTAAAATAGAAGAACTAATCAGCTTAGCTGAACACTCAGAGACGGCAAAAAAGCTTAGATGAAACTGCTACTAGTTTTGATCTTTATCGCAAAGTATCTTTCCCCCCTCTTTGCCAGGCTTTATTCTAGAAACAAACAAACAAACAAAAGATATTCACTCATTTTGATGACGCCAGTTAAGACAACATGGGCAACATACTCCTCACGCTCCCTTTGCTTCCGGGCAGGGCTGACAAAGTCAAGGCTGTACCCATCTCAGCATGTAACCCACTCACTCCGGCCACGCATCACCCGGCAGCTTGTGTGAACTCGGAAGCTGTTTCACCCTTTCACTCCAATTCCTCAGCCAGCCCTTGAAAAGTACGGAACGCTGGGGTCGCGGGGGAACCTCTGGGCCTCCTTAAGCCGCTCGGCCTTAGTCTTCAAGAAATCTAGACCCACCCTGTCCGGGTGGCCCTCCTCTGAGAGGCCAGAGAGCCACGGTGCACCTCTCTGATGGATGGAACGGCATGCACACCTCATTCGGGCAGCGTTGGCGCCTGTATGCCTATGCAATCTGGGGCACCACAGGCTCAAACGGGGCTTTGCTATTCCTGGGCGACTTGGAGCACCCAGCCAGGTTCACATGCCCACTCCGCTAAGAGGAGAGTTAGAGGGCCGGGAGTTATCACCGTTCGCTCGCTCCCTCCCTCCGCCCAGCCTCCCTCCGCTCCAGGGCAGGGCGACCAGAACCTTAGGATTCCCGTGCGCTGCGTAGCAGCGGCCAGCAAGTGTCATCTGGAGAGAAGCAAGAACTCGGGGTGACCGCGGAATCTCCAGCGCCCCAAAGAGTCAATCAATACTTACAACCCAAGGCGGCAGGGCCTCCTCGCCCGGTGCTCACAAACCACGTCTTCCACAATCTCGTCGGGAAAACTACCTGTCCCGAAATGCACCGCTCCTCACGCAAGCACCGGCAAGATGACGCGCAGACGCAGTGGCTCTGGGTTGCTGCCCAACGTGCTGCTGAGAATCTCACTCGGGGGTCGAGGAGCGAGTTGCTCAAAGCGCGGGAGCTATGGGCGTGAGGCCTGTCGCCCAAGGTACAGAGGCTCTTGCAGAAATCCACCCCTGAGGTTGGTCCACGGGTGTGATGCGCCCTGGCGCCCCTTTCCTTGTCCCGGTGCATCCTCATCTTCAGCTGCGTTCACTGAAAGTTGACTGGCTCTTCTTCACAGCTGAGGCAATGGGTCCCCAGGTGTTGTTTTTTCCAGGTTTAGCATTCTTCCGTGGGGACAACATGGCTGCTTCAACCGCTGGCATACCTGAAGGATGCCCTTGCGTTAGATTCCCCAAATCTTTCTAACCAGTGGTTCTTCAAAGCGTGCCAGGTGGGAGGGCACAGACAGAGCAGCCCTGTACGTGGCTGAGGAGAGGGAAAGCTCTCACCGAGCTCCTCACCTCAACTCCTCCTGTTGTGGAGAGGGAAGCTGTTGCCCGGGGCTGGCATTAATTGCAGTGGCAAGATGGATACTCGGCCCGAGAAATGTAGCTTCAGATCTCACCATGCCTCTTTGTGGAGACGAAGTAAAAAATGTTAGCGTGCACAGGGCAAAGCAGACCTGCTTTTTTTTTCCCCCCAGAGAACGTAATAAATACACCTTTGTTCTAAGAACTTTGTGACTGTTATTAACGTTAAATCTATGAGGCTTCTACAGGACACACTGTGATTATAACCATTTCACAGATGATGAAAGGAAACACAAAGAATGTTTTTTTTTTTTTTTTTTTTTTTTTTTTTTTCCAGAGGTTTAAGCCACCACCTTCCTGAAAGGGGCTCAGCATAAGTGTGTGAGGCTGGAATCAGTCCCGTCACCTTTGAGACAGCGTCGAATCAGCACTTTAAGACAGAGCTGGTTGGTTCTCAGGTGTGTGCAACCAGCAGGCTAAGCAGAAAGAACTCTGAAAGGGGAGGGGTGGGGGAGGGCAGCATTTCCATTTGAAAAGCCTTCGTTTGGTGGAAGGGGATACTAGAGGGGCAAGCTGGGATTAATGATCAACAACTGGACACCCACCACGCCTGTCCAGTGTGGTTACCCGCACTGTTCACGCAACAAAATGCCCGCCAAAAGCAGCTTAGGGAGGAAGTGTTCCTCTAGGCTGGCCGGGAGGAGTCCACAGCGGGTGATGAAGGCTTGCGTCCGGTCAGGCATGCCAGCCTTTGGAATGCTGCTGTCCGTGTAGAGTATGTCTCATCTAACCCAGTCTAGATAATTCCCCAGAGACGTGCCCAGAGGCGTGTCTGCTACCTGAGTCTAGATCCTGTCAAGTTGACTGTATTGACTGGCACACAGAGATGTAGCATTTCTCCTCTTTCCCCCCTACCCTTTCCAGCGATAATGATAAAATATGCCAAATAATGAAAGCCTGGATTGAGCCACCAGTAGGTTTTCCTGGGTAACAGATAAACCAAGTGGAAATTTAAGGACAGCGGGAAGGGGGGAGGGGTTGGCCCTTGTGGTCTGTGCTCTGGAGGAGAAACAAAGTACCCACTACGACTTAGCCCTGCAAGGTGCACTACCCAGCAGTCTTAACGTTTGCATTTCAGAGAGAGATTTCTAGATGCTAGAAAAGAATTATTCTTGTAGGGTTCCAGTGTTTGCATTCCTAAGAGACACTTCTAGATGGTAGGAGGATTATCCCTCAAAGGGAAAGCAAGCTTGTAACCGCACACTTTCTCCTTGCTCTGAGAGGGTTCAGTAGCTGCCTGCCTGCTTAGGCTGCGCAGTAGTCAGTTCCTCTGAGCATGGCTGATTTTTCTCAGGCAATTACTTCAAGGGGTGGGATAACTGCTTTGAGCTGTTAGAAATTTTTTTTGATGTTTGTTCAAGTCTCTTAGGATATGAAGGTCAATACATAATTTGTACCAAGAATATACATTATTTTCTGGCCAACTTGGGGCCTAGTCAGGAGGAAGGTTCAGGCTTCCTTGACTGAAACTGATAAAAAAGAAAATCCATTACCAGGATAGAAACCGTGGCTGGACACAGGGTCTGGCTTTTCTGGGTCTGGGCTCTCTAGGATGTCTGTGTCAGTGTGCAACAGAATTTTAAGCTTCTGGTCTAAGGAAGGAGGCTACTTAAAGCACGTGTGTTCTTGGGATATTAATGAATTTCTCTAACACTATTTAGTTTCTCTGGCAGCAAAGTGCAAAAGTGTTGTAGGAAGCAGATGTGTTATGTTTATTGTATCTCCTTTGATAACTCTAGAGAGACAAACACTGTAGTTGGCTTTGTGGTTTGTGGCCACCAAAACTCCCCCAATATCTTGAATGTGGAGGAGGCATTTAAGAGGTCCCCTCCCCCCACTGAAGAAATGTGTGGCCTTTTGTGGAGGGAGTTTGACCTCATTGGGCTAGATTAACTGCCAGGAAACACATGTGTCTGCTGTTTGGCTACACATGCCAGCTTGGCCTTTCTTGTATGAGGCCCTCGCCAGGAACCTCAGCTGCTGGTACCCAAGCTCTCAGAGTTCCTAGCTGCTAGAACCACAAACTCAAATAAACCTCTACCAATTATCCAGTCAGGTGCTGTCTTATGGGAACAGAAATGGTCTTCTTTGAAGCTTGTCTTTGCAGTCCAAGGCATGAGGTCCCACTCATAATCGCTGTGCCCTGGCCATGGCAGAGGAACGACATGGGGTATGAAGCACACGAGGATGAGGACCAGCATGTCTCTCACGGGCCTGGACATCCTACTGTCAGCTCTCATGTCCCCATTGTCATGTCTCGGCTCTGACTGTATCTACTTCCCATTGCCCTCTTGTTCACATTCTAGTGCACAGCAGACGCCCTCCCCCAGGGTGCGAGCTTCCCCGCAGCCCTCTCCCCCCTCTGTACCCTGTGAGTTTCTCCAGCTCGAGAGATCTTAATCTCCTCCCTTCCCCCGTCCCAGGCCAGCAAACCAAGTGGAGAAGCGCCTCGAAGCTGGATTGATCTGGGTAGATTGCAGTTTTCTCACCTATAGGGTGGCTGCCAAGACGCCCTTCAGCTCTGGCACGATGCTGTGTGCTCCATGGTGCAAAATATTCATTTTATTTTTTAAGGATAGATTACTTTGTATGTACACACATAACATGATGTTTTGAAGCACATGCACACTATGGAATGACTAACGTGTCATCTCATGAAGTTATTACTCTGTGGTAAGGACACTTAACATCCACGCACTTAGTTTTTAAGAACAACAGGCATTGTAATTGATCTAGTTCTAGACAGTTCTAGGCTGGCTTGGACCCTCAGCTAGCTCCTCCCACCTCAGCTTCCTGGGGGTTGGGGTTATGAGTGTGCACCCCCGGGCCCCATTAAAATTTGTAACCTTTGGCCAACATCTCTCCAGCAACCCCACTGTGGTGCAAAGAATTCAGCAGCCACTGTCTAGCTTGCAGCAAGCATCTAATGGGGTGTTCTGTAGCTTCATTTTGTTGAACATGTGTGAAAATAAGCTATTGTAAATAGGATCTAAAATTAAGTATAAAGTGTGACAGGAAGAAATGCCATACTTTTTAAAGTAAGAGAACTCTTAAAGTTTAAATTTCTGTAAAAAATTAAAAATACATCTGGGTTACACTAGCCAGTTCTTAAATATTTGATGTCGCTGGTGTGGCTTATCTGTTCTTTCAGTATCTATTATGTCCTGATGTCCAAAATCAGCTAAGTACCAGGAGAGCAATGAATGTAAAAATAACCCCACACCTCTGTCCATTCATCACCCTAGACTCTGTGCTGACAAATCAGTAAATGCTTGCCTGTCAGTTCAGCAAGCCCATGATAGATTTAAACCCCAGCTTCCAAATAGCGCATTTGACTTTTCTGTAAATTGAATTTGCTACATGCAAACTAACATTTCATGGGAGAGAAGGTTGAAGGATTTGTACATCTCTGCCTTCTGTTCCCACCGCCCCTGCCCCGGCCCTTTGCTTCATGTTTGCTTCTATTCCCATGGTTGAAATAGACTTAAATGACATTTACATCGCATAGCAAGTGAAAAAGAGATCTTCCACACAGAGTGCCATCCCCGACAGGCTGGGAGCCAGGGATGGAAATGTCACCTGTGTCCACTGGCCAGCCAGGCCACACAAGAAGTCGCTTTCTTCTGAGCAAGGACAAGTGGGGCTGTGGGTGGCAGCAGCGCCTTCCCAGCTGGGCCCTCGCTGTCAGGGAGACACCGTGAACCCCGTTGCCCCTACGTTCTCATGGACGGTGGCCTTAGAGTCTTCCACATGCAAGACCTGACTTTTGTACTTCTCCTGCCAGTCCTCCACGATGTACTGATGGTACGGGTCCTGAGAGTGCTCCCGGCGCTTCGACTTCACGGTGCTCACCAGGATGGCCACCACGATGAAGGAGAACATGCCGACCATCACCATGAGGTACAGGATGACGTAGTAGAAGTTCTCAGCGTCGACCTTGGCCTGGAGGGCCTGCTCCTCCGCCGTGGTATTTCTTCTCCAGTTGTCCATGTAAGTAATGAAAATCTTCTTGAAGACATCCTCCAGCGTCTGGGTCAAATTGGCGAATGCAGTCATGTTTCTCCCTTGTTAGAACTAAATAATAAGGCAGATTAGTAAGGGTAAGGCCCTTCCTCCATTTGGCTGCCTCAGGGAGGCAGGAAGACGGATGCAAGTATAGAGAACACAATTTCTAAACCCAGCTAGTGATGGATTGAATTCAAAAGTGGGTAGTCTTCAAATTAAACACATCCATTTTCATTCATTTTTGAATGTACTGTTACAATAAAATGTAACAGAAGACATAAAGCCATATAAAGGGATTTATACATCATATATGCACAAATTAAGATTGGGAAAGACTAGAAGGAAGTTGGTCAAAATGTGTACATATATGCATGTATATATAACCATCTATATTGCTTTTGGTGATTTCCTTGAACATTGAATGCTCATCAATCAGCTTACATTTCTTTTCTGCTGAAAAACACCGGTGACCTCTTAGCCACTAGCAAATGTACCCATGTATGTATGTACATAATAATGACATGCACCCAGCATGCTTGCGGTGGGCATTTTGCATTTACAAATGTGGAGATTTAGATGCAGCACTGAACCAAAAGTTTACAAAGACAGATTTTTTTTTTTAAAATATGTTCAATGTCCTGGGCTTATCAGGTGTACCCAACCTGTGGCCCAAGATAGCTACGGATGCAGCCTCAGCTTCAAAGCAGAAAGCTATTTAAAACATTATGAAATTATGTGGTGTGGTGTGTGTGTGTGTGTGTGTGTGTGTGTGTGTGTGTGTGTGTATGTGGGGGGGCACATGTACTTTGGTAGTATGTGTGTATATTTGTTGCAATTTATGAGCTTTTCTTTGTAACTACTTAATTACCCAGTTCTGGTGTGTGAACTTCGTTGATAACATTTGTGACAATGTGAAAAGGCTGGTTGTGACTGTTAGACAGATTTTGTACACACACACATTACAGAAAGAGTGTTTTAGAAGTGATACCAAAAAAAAATCAGCCAAGCTTTCCCCTCAGCCCTCCAGCCCCTCTGTCTCTTTCATCCTCACTGCCCAGCGCGGGCAGCACTGTCTCTCTGAAGCACTGTGTGACCCTCCTCAAAACATCCCTTAGGCTGCATGAGCCCTTCACTCTGCACAAGGACAACCTCTTTAGAAGAGGGAAGCAGAGCTTTGCGGTCACATCACATCACAGCATGCGGGACCTTCCTGCTGTTCTTAAAATAACTCCCTAATTCCTTAACAAGGTTTGCCTGGCCTGACCCATTTCCAGCTGGCCCACCTCTGCGCCTGTCCTTACGACATGAGGGGTAAGGCTTACATGCAGCCAACCAGGCTCGCCCACATCTCCTCAGAGCCAGTTCTTGTCTGAGAACATTCCAGTCTAGCCTTGCTGCCCACTGTGGCCTGCTCTCCCACCTGCACTGCTTGGTTCTCAAGGTCCCACCTTGTGAGTGGCCTTGAACGTGGAGTAGTCCTCGCCTTCGTGGACAGCCTGTGCCAGGCATCCTCACCTGGAGAAGACTGCCCACAAACTTCCTGACATTCTCCCATGAAACACATCTTCCCAAATTGCCCTCACTGAGAATCCTCTTCCCAATACATATTTTTCATCTGACTTTTTAAAAAGATATATTTATTTTAATTCTATGTGTGTGGGTGTTTTGCCTACATGCGTGTCTAGGCACAGAGTGTGTGACTGGTGCCTCAGAAGGCCAGAAGAAGATGTGGTATCCCTTGGAACTGGAATTTTAGACACTTGTGAGCCACCATGTGTGTGCTGGGAACTGAATTTGGGTCCTGTGCAGGAGCAACTCTTAACCACTAAACCACTACACCCCTTCATCTGACATCTTAACCTACGTTTTCAAAGGTCTATAAGATCTCTCTCTCTCTCTCTCTCTCTCTCTCTCTCTCTCTCTCTCTCCTTCCTTCTCCCTACCACTCAAAGCCTGGTATGCTCAAAAGAAAGTTAGCAAACACATGAAATCGCATGTACACACCAAGCACACTTCCGAAGAGGTGTGACAGAGATGTGCGTTATCACTTTAAGTAAGGATGTTTGCTGTGAAAGAGTATAACCTAAATTATTTTTCTCCATAAAGTTTATGTATGCATATAGGAAGCTCTAAGTTCTGTTTCAGGGGACAGCCTGCAGGTATCTTGGGGTGAGAGATTTCAGCAGGACGTTCTGCTGGAGCCACCAGGGTCTGCTTCCTGTGGACACAGTTGTCAGCCCCTGGACTCGAGTGGCCCACCCTGCCCATTATTTGCTCAGCTCTTCACTGTTAAGCAGATCACAAGTGCGTTTTTGTTCAGATTTAATCAGAGGCATGAAAGGGCCCGTGGGGATTAAATAAATACCTGAGCGCGGACCTCTGCCCAGGCTGAGAACGTAGAGTCTGAGGAGCTCACAGTTTGAACACCAAGGATATGGCTTGGCTGGAAAGTCTAGTGCTTCATGACTACAGGAGAACTCAAATTACTGCAAGAGAGCAATTTCATTGACAAAGATTATGTTAAAGCATATTCACATTCTAAGCAGAATGCACTATGGAAGGAAAAGGGAGTATTGGGACAAAGGGTGGTCAGAGAGAGGGAGAGGGCCGCTGTAAAGGAGAACAAACCAAAGCTAACTGTGTAGGGAGACCTCACACATTCACACCAGCTTTCAATAGGAAAGTTGACTAGTTAAGTGAATGTTGTGCACATTCATTTGAACTGCACGAAATCGCCGTCTCTGTAGGTCTAACGCTCAGCATCACGTGGTCCCACCTAACGGGAGCTGTATTTCTACCAAATGGTTCTTAAATCTTAGAGCAGGATGGACTCCTGGGGAGTACAAGGCCAGCCTGCTCTTTGGTAGGAAGCCATGTGACCCAGGCCAGTGCCCAGTACTCAGTCTGTCCAACTGGAGGCCACATATTCCTCCTGTGTCTGGTTGGCTCATGAAGGACAAAGCTTGGAGACCCGGCTTTGAGCTTGCACTCTTCCGTTGGTTGTGCTCTGCCTCTGGGCCACTGGACGGTCCCTTAGTTCCAGATATTTCCTACCACAAATAGCTGCTGTGACCTGACAAGGACAATCTGGACACTACAAGCAAAGTCACATATATGTGTCCCCCATGACCGAAGCTTTCTTTGCTCCAAATATGATAGAGCATGGCCATTATCCAAGCCTATAACAGACAGCAGAGTCTTGTATTTTTATGTCAAGAATAGAAAAAGATGTTATTACCTACAATTGGCATGAATCCTTCATTTACAAAAGCACTTCCAACATTTTCCTCTAAAGACAATTATTGAAGAAAGGAGCAAGGATCACTTAGGAAGTAAGGGAGGGGAGAGAGAGGGAAGGAGATGGGTATGAACAAGACCGCATGCGTAGAATTTTGTTTTGTTTTGTTTTGTATTAGTTTTCTTTAAAAGGGGGTGAGGAAGCTATGTAATTTCTTAAAAAAGAAAAGGTGCATAATAAAACTTACCTATGCAGTATATGAGCAATGCAAGGGGCCTTCAGAAAGCCAGGCTCAGCCCTTCTTACTGGTATAAGCTCTCGAGGACTGTATAATAAATCCAGCAGGCTGGCCCTTTCAGCTTGAGCTCGGTAAGCCCTTGCTGCCTGGAGTCTGCAATCCTGGGCTTTTACCAATCCAAATGTTTAATCTTATGTGGAAAGTTAAATACTGGCTGGCAGCTGGGAATTAACCTTGATGCCTTTGCAGGGGTAGGGCGTGGAGTTGCCCGGGTGGAGCAGGCTGTGCATGAAGTGGCTAAGTTTTCTCTGTGTGGCTGTCATGTGAACCTTCCCTGGGGAAATGTGGACTGACACCTGCTCACTCCAGGAAGGGCACCAATGACAGACAAAAGCAACGATCCCATCCAAAGCCATCTTGGTGAACCGATGAGTTTATAAGCGTAACTCATGGGACCATGGATGAGAGGTTCCTTACAGGAGTGTTGGCATCCCCCAGATGGCTGGACAATTAAAAAGTCTCACCCATGTGAGGCTGCATAGGTGGAGTCTTTCCCCCCGACCCCCTGTAGATACTTTAGAACCTCCTGGGTTACATACATCTGGGAGAGGAGGGACATGGAATAGAGTGAGTGAGAACCTCAGGTGAGGTCCAGCAAGCTTCCCTGATACCTATAAGGAAAGGGCCATAGGCACCAGCAGCCATCTTGTTGAGCGTCTCTCAGAGGTAGTTACATCTATTCTGATTAAGATGGTGGCAGCTGTTGTGCTTAGAGCATTCCACCCTAGGGATCCACTGTGTTCTCCTGCATCAGATAAGAATACAGTCCCTCGAAGACTACTCACAGGCCAATGTGATCTAGGCCATCCCTTCTTTGAGACTCTTTCCCCAGATAATACTAGGTTGTGCCAAGTTTACAGTTAAAGCTGACCTTGGCGCGGGGTGTCAGGGCAGTGACCCTCAGAGCACTGGGGCTTACTGAGGCATGAGCATCGCCATGTGTCAGGAGCTTCTCCAAGGGTTTACTATATTAATGCCATATTGCCATTGTCACAACCCGGTACACAATACACTGTGAAAGCAACAGCTGAGGAATCTAGACACAGGGAGGTGAAAAGAGCCAGATGAGCCAAATCCGTGCCCACATTCGAAAAGGGCCAAGCAAAATCACTTAAGGGCTACATAGCTGGTCGTTACCACGTGATATAACAGGTATGCCATGTTATGTCATGGCTAGGCGAAACAAAGGGCTAACTTTGTTTTCCAGGTGGATTCTCCCCATCGGACGATTCTCCAAAGGGCATGGTTTGGGGCCTGCTGGGTGTTAGAGGAAGGTGATATTACACCTGCTTCCCAGGATTCCATTTGGTTCCTAATTTTCTTCATTACATAAGACAAAGCAAACCCAACCACACAAGGATAACCAGTTTGATAAAGGACCAGTTGAGCTATGGGCACCTCCACAGCAATGGAAGCCAGATGTTCAAATGAGGATTCACTAGGTGGTTGTGCACCTGTTGGTTCTTTGTAAATCAGCCTTGAAGGTCTAAATTTCATGGTCACAGTGAGGCTCTCAGAAAAGGGCAAGTCTGGTAACTGAAGTCAGTTCTGGAAGAAGGTCTGTCATGAAGGTCAAGGGGTCTTGGAGGCTGATAGCCTAGGTAAGCAAACTCCTCAGCACCTCCACCTTTGTCTTTTTTAGCTATGAGATGAGGCGCCAAGAGTCCTTAGCTGGATTGTCATTAAATGAGAAAATGAAGATTATGCACTTAGCACATCACTTGGCACATAGTAGGGCAGCAAATTCTGTAGACACATCAACTTTTACCATTGTGAGAAAGAAGCACAAGGCATGCCAATGAAAAGTCACCATCCAGAAAAGAATGTTCTGGAACCAGGTGAGCTACTGCTCTTTAGTCATTTAGTTTAGCATCTCTCTTATCCACACCCCACTAGAAAATTCAGAAGACAGACTAAAACTATGATATGACAGGAAACACCGGGAAATGGTCACAGAAGCAGGGTGCAAATATGGCCTCAGTATCAGGGGCCAAAGAAACTGGAGGGGCAAGAGTTGTGGGATGTATCCAGGCAGGCCGCAGTTTCCATCACTGCAACAGGCTCACTCGCCATTGCCTCTGGTAGAGGCAAGATGCATTAACACAGCGTTCTCTTTGAAAGTCCAACTCAGCCTATGACTTTCCCAGTCCCTGCCTGTGTGTGGCACATGTTCTTGAAACCCGGACCATTGCATTTGGATTTAAAACAAAACTCTCTCAACAGAGAACTGTAGGAGGCTTTAATTCTAATCACAACTGCCTGCTATGTTCCCTGGGCTGTTTCTTAGGGTGACTCCGTGGATACCAACCAACAGACAAGTCCCTCTCCCAGGATGTGATGGCCAAAGACAAGCAGCAGAAGACACAGAAAGGTACACTGGGGGATCCTCAAATCAGCCAGTGCCTCCTTAATACATACAAACCCTGGTATGAGATAGTCTACATTGGTCCTACCTTTAAAAATTATGTTGATATGTTGTTGGGTAGATTTATGCAGTACCAAATGACATGATTTTCATAAAGCGTGGAATTATTACTCAGGCAAATTAACCTATCACTTCTAATACTTAACATATTTTGGGAAGAGAGTGTTTGAGATTTACCCTCTTAGCAATGCTGAAATACACAATACCCAATTATTATCTGTATATCATGCTGTTCCACAGATCCCAAAAACTTATTCAAAATAATTGATTCTGGGACAAATATTGCCTTTTGTTATTGTTTGTCCTCTTGCTTTAAAGGGACATTTTGTACACTCAAAAACAGTACAGCAACAACATAATTTTTTTTCAAGGATGGACACACACACACGCCCCTGTTCCCTCAACCCCTGCTTTAGAAATTTCTCGTCATTAGTTTTCAGCATCATCACTATCATATATTGAAATGTGACATTTTACAATAATTCTGTCTGCAGTTTTTTGATATTTCTTTAAAGCAATTCTGGAAACATCTTAATCATATTCTTCCAATATTGGTTATACTTTAGTTCTTTCCTTACAGCCCCCACAAGCCTTTAGATACCCCTCACAAGTACTGCCTTCCCTCAAGAAAACATCATGTGTCTTGAGCACAGTGTATAAACATGCCTATTGAATGATAGTGAATTCACAGCACCTGGGTGACCCAGAACAGCACGTCTGAGGACTGTCTGGGCTTTGGGATCATGAACCAGTCTGATATCTAGTTATAAAGAGCAGCTGCCAGGAGACTGTTGCAGGATATTTTATCCCATTGTGAACCCAGAAATCGTGTTCTGTAAAACCCTGTGTCTTGTTTGGTGTGGTTGAGCCTTATCACACACCTTTAATCAAAGAACTTTCTGGTTTTTTTTTTTGTTTTGTTTTTTTTGTTTTGTTTTGTTTTTTGTTTTTTTTTTTGTAAACAGGTGATTATGGTGTGGTTCAGCCAGCCCTAACACACCTTTAATCCAAGAGCTTTCTGTACACAAGATTTAATAAAGTTAACCCTAGGTCAAGGGGTGAAGCAGGGATTAATGAGTAGGAGGGACTTGAGTTGAGGGATATTTAAGACAGTATAGAGAAGTAGAAAAGACTTTTTAGCTTAAGCTCTCTCTTTAGCTTTATCGTTAGCTCCTTAGCTCCCTGGTTTTGGGGCTTTGCCCTAACAAGCCTTTGGCCTTGGGCTATTTTTTTTTTTTTTTTTGGGCGGGGGGCTTTCTTCCTAGGCTGTCAGTTGAGCAACAATCTTTTGGGGTTTTGGTCAGCTGGGTGCTTTCTCTGCCTCTCTGAGCTATCAGGTTTTCACCCCAGCATCTGGCTCCTGGGTCTTGATTGGTAAAATAGAATGACTGGGATTTCCATTTTGTGTATAACAATGGGAAACAAGGCACCTTCTCTCAAATCTTGCTGTTTCTGTTTTACTTTCTCCTTTTTTTCCTAAACCTACCTCTTTCTATTTCATCCAGAAAGCAAGTGGCCACAGGGGCCTGCTGTCCCTACCTACAAGTTCCCAGTGGCCACAGTCAACTTTATTGTCTCTCCAGCCTGGCTGATCAGGCTGTCTGGAGCAGGTTACCCTTTGCAAGGTCTAAGCTCAGAGGCTGTGTTTTTCAGAATGGCCACACTGTGTCCCCACAGGACTGCCAAGTGTGTGCCGCACAGAAGACAACAGTCAAAGTCAGCCTCTATAAAGAGCAGCCTTGTCACACCCTCTGGGTGCCCTGTGCTGGCTTCATACTGTCTCATCTAACTGCTAACAGCCCACAGCAAGACTTTAGAGTGCCCCCACTCCCAGAAGAGTGATGGATACCCTCAGAAACTTCCTGAGGGTAATTTTAGACTCATAAAAACGTTGAGTCCCATGTACTATCCACTCAGCTTCCTGTGGTGATTGTCTCTCATTACTATGCAGAACACAAGAAGTAGGTGACTGCAAGAAAAACACGGACTGCAGTCAGATCTCACTCCTTTTACGTGTGTGTGTGTGTGTGTGTGTGTGTGTGTGTGTGTGTGTGGTGTATGTGTGCGTTTCATAGGCAGATTCAAAATACCACCAGCATATACAGAGGCAAGGCAGATCTCTTTGAGGCCAGCATGGGCTACAAAGTGAATCCAGGACAGCCAAGGCTCCATAGAGAAACCCTGTCTTGAAAAAATGAAAAAAGGAGTGCCACCACAATTCCACTTTCCGTGTGTTACCTGGGAGCAGGGGGAGCATGCACATATGCTTTCATTTCTCTGAACAATGTTGAAGAGTGTAAATAAATTTCATCGCACCAGGTGCGTGTTTGGATTTATAAGCTGGTATGAGGCTAAAGATCAGGGAATCTCCAGCATTTGTGCCATTTAACTTTCTAATTAGCCATACACACAAATTCCAGTTGCTCCAAATTCTCCCGGCAGAGCTTTGATTCCCATTGCCTTTAGCTATGAGCTGCCGGGACTCTGGATATTAGAACCCCACGGGGCCTCAGAGATGATCCACTCTGAGCCCGAAGTCTTGCAGGAAGCATCCAGGATGTCAAGAGCGAGCCTGGCTGCCATGACCCCAGCAGGTCAGTCTTCTGTTATTTTCATTCCCCTTTCTCTCTGCCGAAAGGCAGGCAGAACTATACAGCCTCTAGAGTTGTGACAAAGGTTGGACAGGACCTAAGCACCTTCCAAAGCCTCAGAAAACAAGTCTTCCCAGGAAATCTGACCCTGTGCCCTGAAGCCAGGAGCCAGGCTGCAGCCACACACTTAGACCTCAGCAGGCCCTGGGGGTTGAAGCCACACTGCATTATCTGCTTTGAAGAAATTACTTATGGCCCAGGTTCAAATCCAGTCAGAATCTGCAGCCTGCAGCCTGTTGGTCCTGTCAGCAGGTCTTGCCACTCTTTAATCCTTTTGGTGACTGAATGTTTGTAGAGTGCCAGGCACTTCAGAAGGCTTTGGTCCCTGCAATTAGGGCCAGAGAATGCCACCCGACCAATGAGAAAGAAAATCCCCCCAAATCAGATTTCCTGACTCAAGGTCTTGGGATGGTGATCTGGTCTAGGTCATTCCTTCGCACAGATCCTGAGTGCACAATCTGTGAAAAGCTGCCTCTGTGATTCAAGCAGGTTTTCTCTCATTCCTGGGTTTAAATGTGCAACTTGATCCTCTTTCTGGGGTTTGTGTTTGAGTATCTGCCACCAGGGGGTGCCAGAGAAGTGACTTAGTCACAGATAGCCTAAGAATCATTTTACTGATTCTACTACCAGTGTCCAAGCTTGGGGTTCAATTCTAGCATTTCTGGCAGAGAGATCTTTATCAAAATAACAGACCTCCCTGCTTTCACTAAGGGTCAGCGATGCTGTCTGCTTTTCTCTGAAGGGCCATACTTTACATTAAAAAATGTAAAGAAAGCCAATGTTTTCCAGCTGTTTTACACTAACACAGGTGTTCCTGAGACACAGAAAGTATCCGAAATCCATACTAACTTTGAGTGACCTAAAAGCCACTCAGTTTCCCGTGCAGATAAATTTAAGTCATAAAGTAGCGTTTAACGTTAGGCTTGTTTGATAGTCTTTGAAGGGCTGCAGCATTGTTTGTTGCTCTGAGTGGCAGAGCACAAAGTTTACTAATTTCCTTGTCTCCTTCCGTATGGAAGAGAACATCCACTCCTTCCTCCTCCAGGGCTGTAACAGGAGAAGAAAACAGTGGCTTGTGGGTTGCTGGTGGGCAACGTCTCATGATTCTTTTTCCTGATTTGAAAGTTTCCTGTACAGGAAATTCTGCCCCTAGTCTTTGGATTTCAGATATGCTGTTTGCCTGGTAACTTTCACATGTGGGATCCTAATGGGTCCCTTGGTCTCCGTGGGATGATTTGTAATCTTAGCGTTAAGCCTGAGCGAAAACACCTGTGTTGATTGAAGCTTAAGAGGTTAAGATTCAGCTTCAATCTCAGTAACAAGCTTCAGGTTGAGATGGATTCAGCCTCAGGCCTACCACTCACTCACTTTCAGCAAAGCTAAACGTAAAATTCATCTCCTTCTGCACCCAAAACCCATCTAAGTGATTCTTAATATGGCTACTTTTCACCAGTGTTTTGATACCAGCAAATTGTGTCTTGTTCTCACAAGGCCATGTAGGAGAACAGAGCATCTAATCTGAAGAGATATTCCTTCATGGCTATCAGATGAATGCCCCTCTTCTCCTCAAGGCCACCACCACTGACCTTACACAAGAGGTTTCAGGATCTAGCTTTGAAGGTTAAGAAAGTTCCTTAGAGGGAGAAGAAACGAGGCCACCATGAGATGTCACAATGTCCCCCAGCTTTGGCTCAGAGAGGGAGGTCAGTGTCCAACAGATTTTGGAAGCTGCCTCAACCTCCAGACTTTCTTGCTATGCTCCTGGGGATCACATCAGCCTCAAAGTTGTTTTTCCTTAGGATTTCTATTTCTATTTACAAGAAGCCTTCATTCAGGAATAGTCTCATGTTTGCACCAGACCCTCAGACTTGAAGATGAAGTTGTGGTGACTGGGGTAGGGGAAAAGAATTTGTCTGAGGGATTGTACTCTATTCCCAAATAAGTTCTGTCTCTCTCTCCCAGCCAGACTCACTATAAAAGGGAAAACTGGACAACTGGGCAGTGGGAAAGGAAGGGAGCTGTGCTGGCAACTGGGAGAGGCGGACACCGCACTGTTTACAAATTCCTGCAGCCAGCCCTGGAATCCAGATGCTGACTGTTTATGTGACAGAAATAGACCCCAATGCCGTGGGGCTAAGGTGGCTACTGGGAGTTGGGTCCCCGTGGGGAGACATTTGCTGCAACTGAGGTCAGAGGAGACAGATGCCCTGGGGCTCCAGGGCAGGTAGCTTTTCTCAGGCCAGTCTTCTGGTTGGGGTCTTTCATAGGACAGGCATGGCTATAAGTGGGAGAGCTGAAGACCCACGCCAGCATCTTCTTCATTGTCAGTCTCAAAGGATAGAGTTAGTTCTTCAACCCAGAGGGGCATGACCTGCCAGCCACAGTACTGTCCCCGCCCAGCAGGCGGCATCAAAGAGTCCGAGCCAGCCAGTGTTCAGTATAAGGCTTCTCTCCACAGCTCCACCTGGAGAAGACTCGGCCCAACACGTGGTTCTCATCACTGCCTGGTTGATACGGAGGTCTGAATGTTCGAGAGTCAGGAGCTGTGTCAGCCGATCAAACATTTTCCCCCAGATCCTGGCCCCAAGCTCCTTTCCTCACAGCCCTTGCTCCCCAGCCCTGAATGGATGCTCTTCCTAAGGCATCTCATGAGATGCAGACGAGATACTTTCTCTCTTCAAGAACTCTCCAGCTGTCCCCATCTGAAAGAAGCTGGGCCAGTGGTCACCTAGCTCTACATCTGTCCCCTCCGCCCAGCGTCACCTGTGATTTTGAAGTCAGAGATGTGTTTCATCTGCTCAAGCCTTGCCCTGGACACAGCACCTAGCACACCAAGGCAAGCTGTTAACAGGAAAACAGCATCAAGAGACAAGGGTGTGAGCCAAGCTTTTGTGTCTCCATTTGGGGTGTTTTCTATCACTATAACAAAACTCCTAAGGCTGGATAGCTTTAAAAAGCAAATAGGTTTATAGAGCTCAAATTTCAAGGGCCAGAAACAGCTCAAAGTGGATGGAGTCACAATAGCAAAGACTGTATTACCAGGCTGAAATCCGGGGAGATCTGAGAAGGCACCAGCAGTAACCTCCAACTGGGCCCTGCTTCTTAAAGGCTCCACTGTCTCTATACTACCAGGCTGAGGATCAAGCCTCTTACACAGGAACTGTGGTGGGACCCATGCCACATCCAAACCATGCGCATAGCTCCTTACGTCACTAGGGAAACCAGCGCTCTCTCGTACTGAAGCACGGCCTGAAGCCTCCTGGCCAGATCCGCATGCCTGGATCCTTGGGCCTCTCTGCTGTAAGAGCTACATACCTCAGGGACCAAGGCACACTGTGTCTTCTCTCGAACCTCCTGCCCCTCCGTAAACATGCTTTGCCTGGACAGACTCACCAGTCAGGTCTTCACTTAAATGCTGTCTCCCAGGGACAGCTGCCCACACAGCGGCTCCTTCTGTCTAGACACACAGAGCTGCTTACCCATGGAGAGGGGTGCTACGTGTAATAGCGCCTGATGCCTTGTGGGTACTCACGTCCCTGGCAGGAAGCACCTGCAGGTAGTGTGTACCCTGCGTCACCTCTGCAGCTTGTGCAGTGCCGGGCTGCTCTGTCTTCCGCTTCCCTGCCTGATTCCTGGAGGGCAAGGAAGCCATCTGCTCCCTCCATCCTCCCAGTGCCTGGCAAGGACTGTATTACACTAACGAGTGGATTAATGAACACACCAGAGGAGGGCTGGCGGAACACAGGACAGCTGGAATATGCGTCACCTTGAGAGGGCACCAAGCTTGAGCTCCATCAGGCCCCACAAGACCCTCCAGGAGAGAGATGAAGACCCAGGCCCTCCAGGAGAGAGATGACCTCCAGCCGCTTCACGGGACCTTGAGGGAAAGGAGGGCCACAGGTAAAACAGGACCATTTGCAGCTGTGTGTTGTCTTCTCTTTGGAGAAGTGAACAAAGCCTGTGGGTGTGAATGCAAGGAGGACAGTTCCTGATGCTCAGATCCCTGATCTCAGATGCAGAGCTGAGGACAAACAGGCCACTCTTGGATGCCAAACTCACGGTGCAAAGGAGGCCAACTATGGCTGCCAGGATCAGCTCAGGCACACACTGAGTCCTTATTCACTGTCCCATGGCCACGGTCCTTTCCACCCACCCACCTACCCCATTTGCCCCCAGCAGAAGACAGAACTTTCTGTATGGGGGCTTGAGGCAAGCCTGCACATAATTAACTGTAATAATTGGCAGGTGGGTCACTGGCTCCTGGCTTTCAATCCACCAGCGGCTCATGAAGAAACAAAAAAACCTTGGATGTGCCACAGCTCATGTTTATAGCTTGGGCTCAGAGAAGCTTTAGCCTTTCATGACCAGAAACAAACTGTGGGCAGCAGCTGTCCTGGGCAAACAAGAGACCCAGAGTAGCCTGGAAGCAAGGCAAGCCATGGTCAGCTTGCTCCCTGGAGAAAGGAGGAAGCAGTCACCTGGCCCGTCGCTCTTCCTGGGAGTGCAGAGATGGAGGAGAAAGGAGGCTTGCCCAGATGTTCTCAGCCAACATCTAACAGAATCTACTGCCCTCATGTCAGCTACACCCCAGTTGTGTTTATTCCAGCCGTGGCTGATCAACAGTGTGTTATCTTTTCTACTGAGGTTAAGAATCCTTCGCACGAAACTCCAGGAAGCCATAACAAGTAGATAGGAGTTGATTTGAGAGCTAAGAAGAGCTCACCACTTTCAGAAGAAGCCAAAACATGTCATCTGAGAGTGATTAATAAGGAGAAAAATGAAGCAAGACTTACTTAGGACCATGGTACTGAGGCCAGTTACTGACAGAGGGGTCACTGTGCCCTTCCAGAAACTGGGTTTCTCTCACGATAGATAACTTTTTGAGGAGGGACCGCTGCATGGGACTTCAAGAGAGACCCAGCCATGGTGGCCAGACTCTTCTGCTTGTCTGGGTTGGAAATCTAAAGCCTGTTCTCCCATGGAGGTGGGAGGTGTGTGTTTGCCTTGTTTACCACACTGCTAATTCTCAGCAGATTAAGTGTATGGGGAACCCGTGTCTAGCTGGGCCTGGGGCATCTTCACTGAGGCTCATATCTTGGAGTGGAACTGTAAGGCCACCTAATGACTCTGTGCTAATATAAGATCACGGCACGATTTCCCACAGTGAATTTACTATTTCATATTCCCACCGGCCATATGTGAGGCTTTAATTTTTCCAAATCATCCATGCAAACATGTTAGCTGCTCCCTCTTTTTAGTGATGACCATTTTAAGGATGGTGCGTGGTATCTCATTTTTTTTAAATTATTACACTTACTTAGCTATCTATTAACGTGCTCCCTGTGTTTGTGTATGTGGGTCACAGGACAACTTGCCAGAACTGGTTTTCTCCTCCAGCTTGTGGGGTCTGAGGTCAGAATTCAGGGCCTTGGGCTTTGGTGGCAGATGCCTGATACCTACCATCTCACTGGCCCATCATAGTGATTTCGATCTGCATTTTGCTAACTAGGAATGACTTTGAGCATCATTTTATGAGCTTTGTCAGCCATTCAGTCTCTTTGAGGAAATGCCAACTCAAGTCTTTTGCTGTTTTTAAGGTGAGCTGTTCATCTTGGTGTTGTTTTCACCGTGGAATTGAGATCACTTGCTAGCCAGTGGAGTCAGGGGTGAGTCAAAAGGACATTGAAGTGAATTCAGTAAAATTATTATATGCAGGAAATAAATAAAATTCCTTTATTTTGTGCTAAAAATTCTTTGTCCTTTCTTCTGGGTCTCTACTGCTGCTTAGGGATTTTAAAGGTTAATTTTAATCTGAAATGCTTTATGACTTAGACCCCAAAGCCTAAACATAACTCCCAGGCATGCTTGGTCTTTCTAGGAAACCCAAAGCAAACACAAAATCTAAATATCTCTGAGCTTTCTCTTCCTGCCTCTTCCATACTTCCCTGAAAGTATGTGGTGGCAGCAGCAGTAGCTTTGCAACCTCAGGGCACAGGAAACATCCTTGGCATGGTAATTTGTGATGACTTCTGACTCCTGTGGGCTCCTGGGCCATGGCCTCATCTGCTGGCTAAACCATGCCATAAGGGAGACAGTCACCAAAGGCTGTGGCTTTGTGATCAGGTTTCTCCTGGCTGTTAGAACCTACCAGCTCCTGGTGTCTTGGCCTTTTGACAGAGATCTTGCTGTGACTTCTTCTGGATCCTTCTCATGGAGAACACACCTGAGTTCATTTAAGCCTATTTTCACCATAAGGAAGTTCCGGAACACCAAAGCATCAAGGCCTCCTGGCTGAGCCAGTCTACATCAGCCAGTCTGTTTGGATGACCTACCTTCCCATGTCAGGCAACCACAATATCCTCCCAGAACCCCCAAAGGGAAGCAAGCAGAAGGACATCATGCTGTGGCTCAGAGGAAAGAGAATTCAGGAAGTGGTAACTAAAGCAGTCTTTGGAAATGAGTGTCAGAACCCCACACCGAGTTTCTTTCATCTCTACAGCACCAGATGTCATGGTGAAGATGGTTGGTACTCGGCAGTCAGGACGAAGGATGAAAGCTGTGAGGAGCTAATGTTCCTGACTGGCTGTTTCTTTCTGATCTAGAAGGACTGGATGCCTGCTGTGGTTTAACCATGTCCTTACTAGCAGTGCGTGTTGAAGACAATCCTCAGCAGCAAGGTGGAAGGAGTTGGACCTCATGGGAGGTACATAGACCACGAGGATTCCATGCTTCTAAGTGGATTCATGACAATAACCAAAGAAGCAGGACCTTCAAAGCTGATCGCTCTTGGTTTCTTTTACCATGTTGTGCCTGCTGCCACATTGAGGCGCAGTGAGAGGCCTTTGCCTCTTTGTTTCCCCTTAGTCTTAGACTTCTCAGACTTTTAGAGCTGCAGCCAAGGGGCCGCCTTGAAGTTTATCCTCCCCTCTTTCTCCCTCCCTTCATCTTCCTCAAAATTTAACCCTTGATCCTATGTAGAACCCAAAGCACAGACGCTGCCCTGCTCAACCCTGCTCAGAACCGTAAAAGAGGGTTGACCACTCGGCTCATTGCCGGTCCTGGTGAGAAGAAGCGTTTGTGCCCTTCTCTTCCTGTTATTCTCTATTGCCCAACGGAACTGTGCCCCAGTACTCCTGCCAGGAGAATGCAGAGTTGGGAGCACTTCAGAATCTCCATGTTGAGGGGACCAAGCAAGTCTCAGTCTATGCAGGGCAGGCCCTGTTGGAGTAGAAGAGACATAAGTGACTGGAAAACACAGGGGACAAGAAAATTCAATAGGACCTTTAGAGTCTGAGGAAGGCCTTACTGGAATGGGAAGAGACATGATTTTTATGTGGAAAACTTAAGATTTAAGATGGTAGTCACTTTTGAACAATGAGTTTTAAGACACTGAGTGAAAGAAATACCTCTAGTATAGAAAACATGAAGCGATGAAAACAGGAAGGGTGAGAGATGAGTGATAAAATGGAAGGCAAAGAGACAGACAGACACACACACACACACACACACACACACACACACACAGACTGCAGACAGAGAAAAAGATGCTGACAAAGAGCGTGAGCCTGTGAGTTAACTTCTAATCACGGTGCCTTCACTGTCCTGGGATGCTGGGGTATGATCACAGGTATGTGCCACTGTGCCTGGCTCATGCCATGCTGGGAGTCAAACCAAGGAATTTGTTCATGCTAGGCGAATACTTTATCCATGGAGTCACATCTCCCTAACCCCAGGACTCTCTCTCAAAAAAAAAAAAAAAAAAAAAGCCATCCATACAGGTGTAACCTGATGAAATTTCAAAATTCTACGGTTAAGAATATTGTTTAACAGGATGGGAGAGAACCAAGGGGTCTGAGGTAAATGGGCCCTCTGCACATGCTCTTCTTCTTATAGTTGTACAGAGCCATGTAAAAATAACTGCTCATTCTTTCTAAATCAGTGAAGAAAAGTATTTTAATGTCCCTCCAATTCTTACTTGTCTATGGCACCCCCTTAACCCAGAGGCTCTCTTCTTCCATGGATCTATCCCTCCTGCAGGATTCCCGGCAGCTAGAGTGACTCTGGCTTTGCTCTGATTCTGGACTGTCGTGTTGAGATATGGATGAAAAGGAAGCAGGCTCCTCCCCTCTCTGTCAGGCCTTGGCGAATCACTGGCTGATGATTTTCAGGGGACATGAGTTTGGGAAAGCCTACCTGGAGTTCCCAAGGGGGTGGCCTGGTACTGAAAACTGGTTTCCATGCCAAACCCAGGATGGAGTCCCTTGTGGCTGAGCTGAGGCCCTCCGGAACACAAATGGGTTATGGATTCCCCGACCGAGCCCAAGCCCACCTCCCTCTGCTTGAACTCACTGCCCTCACACCCACCT